TAATTATATATATATATGTATATGTGTGGGTGTGTGTCTTGTACAAATATATAATTACGTAAAATTATGTATAAATATGTACAATTATGTACATATAAAATATATTAAAATATATAGTAACAGAAATCAAATCAGGAATCTCTCTCGGAGTCTACGTAGGGGGGTCCCAACGGAGTCTAGCAACTGCCGTATACTGCCGTCCATGTCCTGCGCTGCCCCACCTGCTGCGTCAGCGTTGGTCCATCTGATGAAGACGTCCCTTGAACTGCCGACCTCACCCATGCCACAATGCTTCACTTCCACACTTCCAAAACCACTTTCCTGATCGAATCATATCTAAAGCACCCGGTTGTGATTTGAGCATGGGACAGTAAGGAAACAATAGCACTCCAAGCCTTCGATTCAGCGCAAACACACACAGGGGAACAGGCATTTCGTCTGAATATACCAGAACTGTGCCAGTCTCAGTCTCGTGGCAACGGTCATGCAACTCTTCTTGAGGTGTCATGAATTTGGGGGAAATGTTGATAGAAGTTGCGCCTGCAGTACATGGGTCTTCATGTTTGGAGAGTCGCTTCTTGAAATGTCTTTAGGGCTGTTGTACTTTGTCTAGATACCACGCATTACTCAGCATTCTCCCTTCCAAATTCTCATACCATGTCAATGGGACTTGTGAAGTCTCATAGGTGACGTGTTGATTGTGTTAATTGATTGAGGATTCCTCACCGGCCTTGTTCTACATTCGTGGCTTTTATGAAGAATCTAACATGTGCTTTCATTTGTTACATGTTGTTATATATATATAGAGCACACAGACACACGTGTATATATATATACAATCGATTGCTCGGATTTCGTCTCACAGATCTAGGCCTCTTGAGCTGCAAAGCCTTCTAGGCCACGTACTGCATTTGAGGCCTACAGCAAAGGGAAATGGAGATTGCATGAGACTGCGACATTTAGTCATTCGCAGTGGGGTTGTATGGTTAGACGCAACGCCCACCATTTGCCCCACAGTTTACATCGGGTACGAGTAGGATGGGGTGGGGTGGAATGGAGTGGGGTGGGGATGTTAACGTTCCCTCGACCACGTTCCCTCGACCTTGCGCAAGATGTTGATGCTGCGCTCACATGGGGTGGGGTGGGATGGGTATGTTAACGTTCCTTCGACCACGTTCCCTCGACCTTGCACAAGATGTTGATGCTACGCTCACATGGGGTGGGGTGGGGTGTGGTGGGGTGGGGGGATGCTAACGTTCACCCGACTTTGCACAAGACTTTGATGCTGCATCAGTGGGGTGGGGTGGGATGGGGCGATGATAACGCTCATTCGACCTTGCGCAAGATTTTGATGCTGCGCCCAAGATGACCTAATTATCATGGTTTAAGGTGGGGTGGGGCGGGGGCATTTTGCAGCAATTTGCTAAGATTCTGTTAGAGCTGCTCGTTCTAACAAGATTGCTGGAACTGTGCATTTTGCAACAGTTTGTTAGGATTCTGTTTGAACTGTTAGTGCAACCCAAAGTGCTGGAACTGTAGATTTTGAGCCAATTTTCAAGGATTCTGTTAGAAGAAGACGATGGTCATACCAATGATGTTGTTGATGATGATGGTGATGATGATGGTGATGATGATGTTGATGATAATGACGATAGTGATCCCGTCGAACTCTTCCAGAAGCGGGGCAAATGGTGGGAGTTGATCGTATGGTTACTTAGGCATCATGACGGCATATGACGGCTATTATCATTATCCAATATCGCTAGCTAGAGCATGTTGTCCGCAAGAGTCCACAAGATGTTGGCCAGTTCTGGCGGATCATCCGGAAACCGAAGGGTAATCCGTTGTACATGGTGGCCCAGAAGGTGCCCAAGCTCGGCGGCAACACGAATGGAGGCTCTGAAACTGTCATAGTTTTGGATAGTCTTTGATAGCCTTATCATGTCTTAATCATCCAAAAGATATTTGATCGTATGTGCTCATAGTTGAGGTGGTTTGATGTTGTTTGCACATAGTTGTACATTCATTCATATTCATATACATATACATGTACATATACATATACATATGCATATGCACATACATATATATATGCATAAATATAATATATAATATTATATATATATGCATAAATATAATATATAATATATTATATATATGTGTGTGCGTGTGTTATAGTCAATTATACTTATTACACTTTATTATATAGTCATTCATGTTTGGGAAGGTCCTGGCCACAGCTTTGCAAACAGGTCCATGTTGAACCCTTTTGCGCCCACGAGCTGAACCTGGTGAAGCAGCATCTGCTGCTGGCCCATAGTCAGCACACTTGCCATCGAGGTCAAGAACTGCAAGGGCGAAAGAATTTCGACATGATAAAATACGATGGAAAATTAGAGTCTTGACACACTCCAGCAATCCACAAGTGCTCTCCACCCTGCAAAAGAGGTGCCTCCGGCAGCACTTGAATGCGAGTCACGTTTGCGAACCTCAAATCTCTAATGAAATGCAAGCTCTGCGGAATGGGAAAAGAGGCTCTGAATTCAATCGGGTAGGGTCAAATTGGCGACTTTCCACCGAGCACTTTCCAATCAGTTTCCTTTCCAGATTGTTCGCGTTCACAATGTCAATAGCATCCAAGGACCAAACACTTTCTCGGAATGCTCTTGCTCAGAGCTATCCTCCGTGAAGTTGCCTGCAACAGGGCAGCCTGTTTTTAGCTGAGGAACTCTCGATTAGAGTGTGTGATGTGATCTCTCTAGGGTATTCTGGCTTGATATCTGTTGATATCTGTTGACATGGTTGGAAGTTGGAGGTGGGGTCTTTGTGGTCTTTGTGGTCTTTGTGGTCTGTCTGTTTCTGCGCGTGTACGGAACCTTGATCTGGATCCAAACTGTTTCCGAACACGGCGGTAACATCAACCTTGGTTGGACACTCCCAGGTCGTTGCGTTGGATGTTACTGGGCTAAGTTGAAGCCTTGAAGCCCAACGATAGCATACGATAGCCTTCTTCATCTTCAACAAATACTTCAACAAACCCTGCACAATGAGTTGCCTTGCTGAGGCAAGAACACTCTGACGAACTGGTTCGAAGGCAACTCTGACCATGCCCTCCACAGCAAGACCCAACTTCCCTAGCGTGTCCTGGCATCGAGCAAGTATGAAAAGGATTGAAAAGGTATGGCAAGTTGTTGAATCCAGAGCACTTCCTCATTCTGTATCATTCAGCGATTCAATCACTTGCAGAGCGCACGCTAGTTTGGACGAAGGGTACTGCAGCAGCCAGGGCTTTGAGAGCCTAGGCCAAGGATACAAACGTTGGCTGTCAGGTTGTCAAAGAGTCAATTCGAAATCCAGCCCCTCGCATGCTGCCAAACACCAGACTGCAAAAAACCTGGGAAGCAAACAGGCCGCACAACCTGCCGAGTGTATGGATGTCTCGCCAAATAAGACAACAAGCATCGATGCAAGACAACTAAATAGACCTGGACCTCTCAGAAATGTGTGCGCAACACTTTTATGTGCAACATGTGTATATGCATGCATTCAAGCATGCATGTATGCACATATATATTGCCAACAGTTACACTATGTATATACATATAATATAAGTGTGTGTGTGTGTGGTGCCTGTGTAAATACATATCATATATATAACTCTGTCAGCACATACACATGAGTATGCATGGCTCTGTCTACTATACAAAATATATATAATGTATTATATATTATGTACTGTATATAGATAGTTTACTCTTCTATACCTTCAGTGTTGTCTGAATGTTATCTGTTCATTTAACATGTATGTAACTTCATTCTTGCATCAATGTCCAAACTGCATCTAAAAGCAGCCCTATATAATTCTAAAAGATTCTAAAAGTACCTGCCCTGTTAAACCATGTGAAACCATAATGCTTTCCTATGTGTGCTTGCCTCTGCCGATGGGATCTGATCGCAGGTGACTGAGCCGAAGAAGTCCGTGCCTTGGACCATTCGGCTAACGAAGGGTTATATAACGGCTCTATGACAAAAGGATACAAAAGGTGAATAAATGTTAAGTATTGTAAAGTGTAACGCAAAATGTCATCATTCGGTAGCTGACACCTCTGGCTGTGAAGAACATATGATTTCATGAGCCTTTGGCTGCAGGTCTTGACTTTCACTGCAGGATCAGCGATGAGCGATATCACATGCACAGCCTGCATCAAAGCAAAGAAGTGTCTTGCACTGAGCTGCGATATGAGAACAAAACAACCCCCCGGCCTGTAACAGCTGAGTCCTGAGCAATTGCAAAATATCTGTGCAAGAGCTGGATACGCTTGGAAACAGTACCAGCTCTGGCGGCTTGCAATCGCGTGAAAACTTCTATGCACTTTACCATACTCCAACAATCTTCAACATGGCGACGTTGCACGGCTAAGGAGACTGCACGTCATTCGTGACCTCAACTCTGGCAAGCAAGGCCTTGGAATGAACGGTGAAAGCTTCGGCTGCATGTCATTGGCTACAAACATCTTTCACTTCTTTCTCTCGCATTAAGTCATTAAGATCAGACGACAACGGACGGAACACATGGACTTCATCACGTAGGTCTTGTGTAATTATATAATAAAAAATATACACATATTATATCATATTATATGATATGATGTGGTACGATATGATATGGGCCACAGTCAATATTTAGTGTATAGCTCCAAGTCATCAATTTTTGAAGAGTGTATTATCGTTTTTCAGGTTTGGGGAATATAGCAAATGTTATTGTTGTTCGAAGAGTGTATTATCGTTTTTCCAAGCCCCAGCTCAATTTCAAAAAAAAAAGATGTCTCGAATACTTCTTTCCATTATGCAAAATTTTGGCTGTAGCTCATATGTGTATGTGTATGCGTTTTTGTCTGTGCATGTGAGGGAAATAATAAGGGGGCGCCCCCAACCATTTCCACAAGTTGCTCAGCAGCCAAGGGCCAAATGACAAACTGCATGAAGGTGGCAGGACACACTTTTCTCCCGATTTTCTGGGCACTTTAGAGAGCGGACGTTGGGTCATTTAGCCGAAGAGGTAGACTCTGTCCTTGGATCTACCTTACTATACCGGTAGCAGGCTTGCGCTACCCATGACTTAATTCCGGTGCCATCATGAGCGGAAGATGATGAACACCCAGGTTGCAACTTCAGCGTTGGCATCAGGTCATTTCACACCCTGCGAGTTTCTCCCTCGTATGGGCACATCACCATTTTGCAGTGCATGAGGCGCCCTTGAGCCAGCAGCATCACCATTGTCCTTTGAGAAGGGCTGGGCAAACGACTCCTGGGTAGTTTCTTCAGTCATGCTGGTACCAATGATGACTCCTGTCCCAAGGCCAACCAGCAGCCCCGTAGTTAAAGAGCTGAAAGAAAAGCTGGACGCCAATGGTTGAGGAGGTGGAGGTGCTGAAAGTACCCTTCTGTATTCCCTCCGTGGTGGCTCTCGATAATACTCTGGCTCCTCTGGGGTGATACTTTGCACCACCAGACTCAAGAGAATGCCACCTGCTGAACCAATGGCCACTGCACGGACTCGCTTCGACAACCTTTCGTCTCCTTCGTCTGGTTCCTTGAGCTCCTTCAGGTTGGAACTTGGTCGAGGCCGTTGGGCTGCTTCGGGCGGCTCCCACAGCAGAGGTTGCCGATCCCGTGGGGGACCCACAAAGGCAGCGGACGCAGCAGCTGGAATCACAACTGGAACTGTCGCTACCATCAGCCAGAACCGTGGCTTTTTCGCTACAGTCTGACTGCTCAAGCATCTTAAGCATCCAAGAAGCACCAAAAACATTGCAGAAAGAAGCTCCAACAAAGTCTGAGCGCATTTCACCCAACTTCTGGAAGCTAGCCACGTGCAGTATGTGCAGCACGTGCAGCACGTGCACCACGTGCAAGTACATCTCGCAACTTGCTGAGATGGAGCCAACACTGAATCAAGGCTCAGCAGGCTCAGGCCTGTTAGCATCACCAGGATGACAAACATCCAAAGGCGCTTCCATCGGCTTGGCATGGCGGAAAGTTGCGTCTGCAAAGAGTCCTGCCAGGCCTGGGTTCCTCGATCTACTTAACTCTATTGTCCCAGCTACAGTATCAGAAATTTTGCAGCCAAACCAGCTGCCCTGTTCTGTCTTGGTGAGGTACTGTTGTGTGCCGTGTGGCATTCATGAGTAGGCTGTGTTGAACCTGTTCCATCCTTTTTCTTCATGTGGCAAGGGACCCTTGGGCCAAAAAAATTGGCTGCAAGCATTGCTCATCTTCGCAGTTTTGGGCAGTTGCATTCATGCCGCACGACTTTCCATGCAAATGGACATTGGAGGCAAAGAAAGGCACACAATGTTTTTAACTGCTTTTAGCAAGCACACCTGTTTACGCTGAATCCTGTGCACACTAACCCGCCACTTCACAACTATGGAAAATATAGTGGGACGGGCAACGAGTACACAGGTACTTAAGCGCCATGTTCTATATGTCGACCGGCCGACAGAACAGGCGACTTTGGCGGGCAAAGCCCGGAAATTGAGTGATTAAGGAAAACTTCAGGAACAAGGCGCCAAGGCGCCTAACGCCATGTCGCAGGTGAGAACACTTGCTCAGGTGGGAAGCCTTCAGCGGACTTAGTACTTGAAGGCTGTTCCTGGCTACGTTGCGGAAAATGAAACGCATAAATTTTTGCAGATTCTTAGAGTGATCTGTGTGTACAAACCTGGGCATGACTCTAATGATTTACCCCTTGTCATCATTTGTCATTCAAGTGAATCAATCGAGTTTGGGTCAAGAGTCTAATCTCGCCCCACTCATCGCTTCCCTGCGGCTTGTATTGGGACTCCATATCGATGGATATGCCTGGCACGGCGAGCTATATAAATCTCAATCCCCATATTGGTGTGCAAAGTTTCAAGCACATCCTGATATGATTTTCAAACGACACGTCATGAGTGTGCAGGCCTAGGCTCTTGCTAAGCCTGATCCGGATCTCTCCATGCTCCGCCAAATCTGCTTTCAGCCATCTGTTGGTTGGATCATCATCATCTTCGGGCTCCAGAAAACCTGCCATGAGCTGAGAGGTGTCTCAGAGTGGATTTCCTTGATCTTTCTACAGTACACATTGAATCAATATGAATCAATGCAGCCCACATCGTCACATCTACATCTCCATCACGTCTTCTGTGTGATGGCCAGTCTGCAGCAAGTGGCCTTCCACATTGTTTTCCACCTAGGTTCTCAGGCAAGAGACTCTGGAGGCAATGCTTACACTATGCACAATGGAAAATTTCTGAATTGGCAGTAACTAACAGTAACTAACAGTAACTAACAGTAACTAACAGTAACTAATGTTACATTAGAATACATTAGACGTTACATTAGCATCAGCAATCCTATGCAATCCTCTTGGCATCTCCTGCCCCAAAGCCCTTGCAGTAGGGCCACGTAAATCAAGCGGTCTTCGTCGTCTCTGGTGACCTGCATGGACGCCCCAATAGAGATCCATGAAGAGCATAGCTTGTTGCGAAGCAGCAGTATGGTTTGCTTGGACACTTCGAAGCAATCTGTGAGAGTGAAGAAAAGAGTGCCCACAAAAAGAAAAAAACGAAAGGCGTCTTTAATCCTCCTAATCATCCCTAACGAATGTGCATGGTTGAATGGTTTTAGAGAACCTTTTAGATGGCGAAACTGTGCAAACATACCATTTGTTTCGGCTTGGCACACAGCTCGGCACTTGGTCCACTTGGTTCTCAGTGCTCAATGCCTTGTAAGAGCCAGCGTTGTACTGCCACTTGCCGAGGTGAGGATTCATGAACTTCCTCACATCGAGCATCTGCTACAATCCAGATTGGAAGTCACTGCAGGCCGTATATCAAAATAAATAACATATATATATATAATTATATATATAATTATATATATAATTATATATATATATATGTATGTGTATATGCAAATGTATATGCATATGTATATGTATATGTGTGTGTTCATAGATAGAGAGATTAGATTGGTTTAGGTCTAGATTAGATTAGATCTGATTAGATTAGATTATATAGGTTAAGTTAAGATATGATAAGATAAGATGATTATATAGGTTCAGATAAGATAAGATAAGAGAGAGAGAGAGATATATATATATACACATATACACATACGCACACAAATATATTATAATATATGCATATATACACATATATACTGTACACATACACACATATACGTATGTATGCGTGCATAGGAGTCAACAGAGCGCAGTGTATTGCAGATTCAGTTCAATATGTTCAATTCGCGACCAAGTGCAATTCAGCTTTGTAGTGCCGAGCTACTCGTAGATCTCTGGGCAGGGTCGCAGCCGCAATGGCTCTGTATTGTCCCAGGACTCTCCAGGCTTCCACTTGGATCGTTGACACATGAAAAGGATGACATATATAGGTTTGAAAAGCAATGCATATTCAACTTTGAATGTGCAACCAGGAAGGTGTCACATCACAATTTCAACGTTGATTCATCAGCTATCAGACCATAACAGACCATATATCAGAACAAGTGGCTTGATTATTCCCAGAAAGGGCCTCAGGCAAATGGCCGAAGAACAAACGACAACAAATGCCTACAACAAGCGATGACAAGGCCATGTTTGCTAGGAGCATGTTTTGTCATGTTTTTGTATTCTAAGCCTCACTTCGCAACAGGTGTGACAAGGTGTGAAGATGTTCATAGATTTCATAGGATGTTCGCTTCTCTTCACTACGGCTGGGTCAGGAAATGCCAGGAAGCTGAGACCACGCCACCAATTTGCTCACCAAAGTCTGCGGAAGCTGCCTGCCAGGGCCAGGCTACAGTGGCTACAGAACAAAATCATTCGGTTTTAAACGGTTTCTGCATTTCCGTAAATTGCATCAAGCTGTATCAATCAAGCTGGTGCTAGTCACTGCTTGTTGCCGTGCCGCTTCAAGGTGTGCACACTACATTGTATTTCCAGATTCCAGTGACAGTGCCCAAAACGGCAGCACCCGAGGCATCTGCTCATGACCAACCTGGTTGAACCATAAGGGACGCCTTTTTCCTCTGAGCTTCACCAGGTTTTTGGTCACGACGAACGCTGGTAATTCACAGCTCAGACTTTTGCTCCTTGAAGTCTAGCTGCGCCTCTTTCGGTAGCCATGAGAGAGTCGCGCTTGATTTTTTCCTGGACATGCTCCGGCAAAATCCTGAAAACATCTTTGCCGGTGAGATTTGTTGTCCCAGACTTTTGAGGGTCAGAGTGGAAAACAAAAAAAATGTGCCAGTTGTGCCACCCAGTTTCTCTTCTAGTTTGGCTTTGAGCTGCTTACGGCACTTGGTCCACACGGCCGGTGTGCAAGCGGAGAGTTCTTTCACGTTCAAACTGGGCATCTTCGAGGAAAGTGCCAAAGTCGAGCCGCAATGCAACATCACCTCTAGGGCTCTAGGGCTCTAGGGCTCTAGGGCATGGTCGGCCTGGAATCGGCCTCATGATTTACATGGTAATTGTGTGGGGATTATGGGAACCCCCATTTAAATTTGATGTCGAAAACCTTGACATTCAACATAATTCTTCATAATTCAATTCAATTCATAATGATTCAATTTCAAAGCTTTCAATACTTGCAACATCTTGCAACGTGTTCACCATCACCCAACCTCCAGGATGCCAGTGATGGCTTCGTCCAGCTGCACCTTTTGGATAGCCTGTTGAAGCCAATTTCTAAGCCCTGCATTCTCTTTGATGCCTGGCAATTCCTCTACTGTGGAAGGAGTATAGCAATAGGCCAGCCGATATTGCCGGAATTGCGGTCTCCAAACGTTGTTATCCGTCAGGGCCGACAGGGTCTGCTTTCCTTTCAAAATGGTCTCGTAATATGAGAACGAATCTGCCAGCGCAAGAGACACACGGAACCAACCTGAAGGCACGATGATAAGGTCTCCGGGGCCCTGATTTGCCTCGACATACTTCTTCAAACCAAATTCTTCCCGAAGCTCTGGCAGCTTCTCTTCAAAGAACATGTAGGCAGAGGTCTTGTCAAATTCCAAAGCCTCCCGGGCCTTCTGTGCTACTCGCTCCATCTCATCTTCTTGTAGCAGTAGCCACCTCTTGGATCCGTGCACTAGCACATCAAAGAAGGGCAAACCATTTTCTGGTCTCAAGTTGGCACCTGACCCAGAAGGTCCAAAGGTGAAATACTGATATGACAGGCGGCCTTGATTCCGTTTCCATCTCTCTGCACCTTTTGGGATGATGGTTTTCAATTCATCGCCTGCTGCTTCCAGAAGCTTCCGCCGGAACTCTGCCATGTGCGGCAGGGCATTCTCGATCTGCCGGAAAATCTGAAGCTGCTCAAGCTCTGTGAGGTTTCGAACCATGCTCTGCCTTGGTGCAACACTCAGCTATCTCAAAACAACGTTGCGGCACACGATCCATGTTCTACAAATCCTGATGTCTTGCATAACATGTTTCACAAAAAGCTAGCTCTGAGCTTGTTAGACATGGCAACAACATGCACAACATCTGAACATCCAAAAGTGGTCCGAGCATGTGGTGGTTTTCACATTTTGACTTCGAAATGTACTTCGCGCCACAACGGCGTGCACTTTTTCGATATCTCAACTTCCAAAAGTGCTCTGAACCCGTCAAGGTTTTTTTACACTTTTGACTTCGCAATGTACTTCGCGCCACAACGGCGTGCACTTTTTCGATATCTCAACTTCCAAAAGTGCTCTGAGCCCGTCAAGGTTTTTTACACTTTTGACTTCGCAATGTGCTTCGCGCCACAACGGCGTGCACTTTTTCGGCATCTCAACTTCCAAAAGCGGTCCGAACCTGAAGTGCTTTTAGCTTTTTCACTTGCAAACGGGCTTCGCGCCACAACGGCGTGCAATTTTTCATCCATCATCTGGCCACATGGCTCCGCACCCGCCGCTTTAGCGAGCCTACTTTTCGACCCTCCGGAGCCACAAATCATTGGAAAAACACGGCGTTTCGCGACTTTCCTACCTTTTCGCGCACTTGGATCTTCTTTCTTCTGAGACTTTCTCTTTTTTGATCTTCTTCTTCTCTTCTCTTCTCTGACTCTTCCCGTCTCTGCTTTTCTGTCCATTTTGTCGGAAGTTTGACTTCTAAACTTCCTTCGGTCATTACATACATAGTTCTATAATCATAAATACATATGCATATGTGTGTACATAGTATCACATAGTATACCGTAAACAAATATATCGATATACATCGATACATCATATCATATATCATCTATCACAAGCACGACCCATAGCTGCTGGAATGACTCATGTAATAATTGTAATATGGAAAAATATGGACAGTGAGTAACCCCGAAAACAAAATCGTAAGAGCGCCATGGGAGGCGCCCCCGGACAGCCCATTGCCCTCAAAACCAACCGCTGGCACTAGCTGGCAGCATCCAAAATTCGAGAACACCACGTCCACTTAGAACGTCTTAGAACCAATTTATATCAATTCATAATCAGTCATAATCCTTCTGTATCCTTCTGGCTGTTGCCTTTATGTGGGTTCCTAGTTCTATCATGTTTAAAAATGTTTTAAGCATCTTGAACATGTTTAAGTCATTTTAAGTCTAAGTTTATCATGTTTACATATGTTTATCATGTTTGATCTAGTTTTTTGCCATGTTTTACTAGCAACTCTCGGCCAAGCCACGCATCTACGGTTTGTTCACAGTGCTCGGTGTTCTGCCCAGGCAGCTTTGGCTTGGCAGGCGTACCATGGAAGCAGTTGATCACATAACGAGAGAACGGAATCATCTCAGGCTCTTCCATGTGCAACTGGTTGCCTACAAGCCTCAAATGGATTCAAATGGCCCAAACTTATGGGGTCCAAAATTTGACACGAAATCACCTTTGAACAGCAGCATTAAGCATTGCATAATTACATATTGTTACACATTACAGTATCTGGTATCAGATAGGTGTGAATAGATAGGTAGGGCGAGGTAGGGGGAGGTAAGTTAAGAAAACACTTTGAGGTGATTTGTAAGACTGCTCAACGTGACAGGAATTCTCAGTATGAACATCATGAACAAAGGATTGTGATGGAATTATCTGGAATTTGTGTTGTCGCGCCTTGCACGAGCCTTGTCCTGTGGCCAATACTCCACTCGAAATTCCTTCTCCAAGTGAGTATCCTCCATAAGCCGCGTGGCTGTCCAGTGGCGCCTCACCTCAGCCCAAGCACCTGGGCTAAAGAGTGTCGTGGCGTTGGTGATCAGCATCGGCTCTTTGAAGTTGAGATCTTTGCCCTCCTCTAATCGTTTGGCCAAATCAGCAGCTGTCATCTTTTTCACTGTGATCTTCTTGGCATTCAACTTTGGCATAGCTTTCACGCGATACTTTGGAGGAGTGAAGTCTTTTGGCACCTCCGTTGACTTTTTCTCCTCCACCACCTTGGCGGTCTCTATGACTTTTTGGACCTGGTTGACCATGTTCTCTAGGAATCTCTGGACATTCCCTTCGTACTTCATTTGCTTTGCATGGCTCAGCAGTTGCTGTATTTGTTCATTGGTCTTTGCCTTGTCATCACTTTTCTCAATGGTCAGGGTCGCAGAGAGCTTCAAAGTAGACTGACCCTGTGCAACCGGTGCTAGGAACCACACTGCAGAAAGTGTCACTGCAAGTAGCCCCATACAACGCACCATACGGGGCAATAGCCAGCACTCTCTCAGCCGGCTCGACCCACCCAAAACGCACAGGAATCATCAACACGCACAGCCAAAAGGCCTCGAACCGAAATCAATGGAGTAATCTGGGTTCAGGGTCCAGTGTTTGCAAGGTGCAGGCCATGTTCGGGATGAGGAGCAAGAACATAAAAATCATTAAGCAGGACGTTCAGGCACGCCTGCCCCAGCTTGAGACAAACAAACACAGTACTGTCCGTGCGCCTTGCTCGGCAGCGATGCCGCAGTTGAGGTCTCTATGCACCTTGCACGCATGGCATGCTACGACGTTGGCACACCCAAAGCATTGCCGTTGAACCCCTCTGGGGGTCAAGAATCTTCATGTTTAATTAACTCTGATATTTGGATGGATTTTTTGTAGTATATACCCTGATGGGTTAAGTCTCTATATACTTGGAAGCGATGTCAGGGGAAGGCTGCAACTACTTTGGCGAGGATCAGCTGGTAGATATCGCCGGTGAGCTCGCTGACGTGCCAGCAGCTTCCACAGAGGCCATCTTCACATCGATAAATCACTTCATGTCCTCGGCATTCTATGCATTCAAGAGCATTCAAGGCTAATGTCGCCTACGAGATCCTGTATGGGCAAAGCATCGCAAAGTCTGCGTGATCGAAGGCTTTCACTCGACCCCGGCCTGCTGCTCGGGCAGCATCAACCAGTTTTGTGCTTCCACGAACCACCACTGGATCTGCAGGTTCGGGAAAGACCACCTGCAATTGACTTGACTAGAGCATACAAACGGGAAGCATGCCACCACTCTCCAAGTTATATTGTGTTCATTTCTGTCCTTATAAGTTCCTAATATTTCTTATCTGTGCTTATCTGTGCTTGTTCTTTTATATCTTTTATTGTGTTTGCAGCTTTTTTATGCTTCTTTAGCTTTTTGCAAACGTAACATCTGGTAACTTCGTACAGCAAACGTAGTTCTTGCCTGGATGGGTCCTCTGGCCTGGCGAGAGAGCTTCAGCACCACCTAGGCCGGCAACGGCATCAACGGCATGATTCCCAACGAATAAGGTGCCACAATGATGTGAAAGTGTTCTATTGATTTAAAAAAAAACTCATGAAACGTATCAGTCTTCAATTTGAATTATCTTCGCGCATCTCTGGGATTCTGTCTAATACATTTTGCCAAATCCGGTGCCAAAAACGAACATCAAGAGGGAGGCCTCCAAACACCCAAGCCCCCAGGCCTTCTCCCCTTCCTTCATCTTGGAGACAACGCCAACCTTTCATACATTTGTGCTGGAAGCAACGGGCGTTTTGCATTGAAGCAGGGCTTTGTGCAGTTCTTTGCTTGGTCTGTATTGCCAAACCTTGATTGTATCCGAGTTCCTCTAGTCACCATGCTAAACCACACAATCTATGCGGCCACCCAGCCAAAATCACCTCGAAGTGATGTGCTTGGAGGAAGAGTATTACACATCATGCCACTGTGTACGTAGCTGGGGGATCAATCCATCTATTTCAACCTTGAATCATGATCACTGATATCGACTATGTAATCTTAAAATGGCATGTGGGTAATTAAAAAAACAATTACAAAAAATAAATAAATTATGTATGTATAATGTGTGTGCTAATATATTATAATATCATCTGTCTGCGAACATATATAAGATTGTTATGGATAATATAATGTATATTAATGTATCATCGTCACCTCAAGACCCCTAGCTTGCTGCAGGTCCATGGCACGACTTCTTCTGTTGTCTTTGTCTTCACTCCATTGACCATTAGGACCCTGCACTTGCCAGCGACTTCACATGATTCAGTGCGTGTAGTGCAAAAGTCGTGGACACACTGGACTTGACATGCCGCACCTGTCACCTGGCTGGATCCATATTCTCTTCTCTTCTGCGTCCTGTGACAAACTTGCAGTTGACCGGTCTACCTCATTCTTACATGGCAATTCACCCCTACCCTTGCTTGGATTCTGCGCACTTTATACACAAACAATGCGATATGCGATCCTAAATCAACTGAGAGTGAACATGCGAGAAAAAAATATAGAAAATCTACACCCTTCCCAGAAACCAATCATTCCGATCCAAGTCCAACACCCAGGCCATCCAAATGTAGCACAACCCACACCCTCCGCCATGCAAAATGATACAAAATGGTGCAAAATGATGCAAAATGGTGCAAAATGGTGCAAAATGATACAAATTCCTGCCGGAGGCAATTCTTGTTGTACTCAAAGGCGCTGCCACCCTCGACCACCTCTGACACGCCCACAGCCTCACCATCGACACTCCTTGGAATGGTGTGCTGTGCTGTGCTCTGGAGAGAGCAGTGAAACTCGGAAACTCCTCCCGTAACGATCTGGGCATCCACATTCAAGCCACATTCACATACTGTATAAAAGCAACAGTACCACCAGCGCACACAATATCGCGGCTCTATGCGATTATCATACTCTCCGTGTTTTCCTCTCTTTATTCTCCTCTCTTTATTCTCATCTCTTTATTCTCCTCTCTTTATTCTCATCTCTCTCTCTCTCTATTTTGTCCATTGTTGGGGGGATTCACATTGGGCACTTCAGCGCTAGGACCAGTGGTCCATGCATGGTCTACATGAGTTTTCAAAGCGGACTGGCACGAGGTCACGAGACTTGCTGAAATTCTGGCACCTTGAGGGACACATTGTGTCTGAACACATTGAAGTTAAGCAATTACACTATATAATTACACTGTAAATATACGGCAAATAATTTGATGTAAGCATATATATGCATGCATATCATTTTACATCAGTATATCATAGTATATCATAGTATATCATATGTTCGAAAAATGTGACCTATGTATCAGCTATGAATCAGCTATGAATCAGCTATGAATATCTTGACAACATTTGACAACACGCCAAGGTTCGTGTCCAAGGCCAGGCCCAGTGGAGGGCTCAGCTTCACATCGAACCAGACCTCGTTGCCCACGCGTTTTCCGTTGCGCGGCTGCGGACGAGTTCGCATCTTCTCGTAGTCTTTCCTGAAGAAACATATGAAATACATATGAAACATGTGTTTCAAAAATGTTCAAAAGAACAGAAGGACAAGAGAAGGATTAGATATGAGAGGAATAGTTACTTCAACTCAGGGAAACAGTAGACTGAACTTAGAGAGTTACCTAATAATCCTAATATTACATAATATTACCATATGTTGCCTATGAACAACTCAGTCTGAAGGGTTCGGAGCTCGGGGGGAATAACATCATAGCTAGCATGCAAATCAAAAGAGATGTTTTAAATGCGGATATTCGTTATTCCAACCACACTTTCACACCTTACACCACAAGTCACTAGGCACTATATAAAACATGGTGGGCTATAAAGTAAAATCTATAAAAAAGCATACAGGTCTACTGCGCCACAAATCGCTACAAGACACCGGAAACATCCAGAAACCTGTGGTATCCGTTTATAAAAGCAGCTACTTGGAGTATCAGAGCAGTGTCTGTGTATGGTATGTCTGCGCATGTCTGCGTAGCTGCTTCACTGCTTGCCATCGAGGGGCTTCATCTCCTTGAACTCTTCCAAGGTTTTCTCGGCCTCTTCTATTGCTGCCTTCTTGGAAGCGGCCAAGCCCACCATTCTGACCTCAGGGCATGATCCATGCCCAAACGCATGCCACTTCGGTGTATCCAGATCCCTACCATTGAAATCATTCGAATCAACGAGCCCAAATCCAAGTTACATCGCCGTTCTGCACACCTGGCAAGAGATTGCTCCATCTGAACTTTGCTGGTGAAGACATGCAAACAAGCCATAACAAGCCAACATCCATGCCTGTGTGTCGCGAGCCGATCCAGGTTGTGCCAAGTCCACTCAGGCACCTTCCATCGGCTGCCCAAAGGGATCCAAAGGGCCCGGTGCATGGCTTCTTGAAAAAACGCTGTTTCTGCCGGTTTCTCTCTGTTTCGGCTCTCTGAAGGCAAGAAACAAAGAAGATGCAGCCAGGACTGCCGCCCCACGCCATCGGATGCGACGCACCATGGCGAAATGTTTTGACTTTCTGAATCTGTAAAGGTTGGTCACGAAATGTCACGAATGCAGAGAGATATTGGAGGCGGTGATCTTGGAGATCTCTGCCATAACGAGCGTTGCGTTGGGTTTTCTACATTCGCTATGTGGAAATGTGGCTCTGGATGCAAAGCTTCTGGGCCAGTCAGCTGCGAGTCAGCTTCTAAGATCTCTTAAAACATCTCAATCTATGACTTCAGTGAATCTGAATCATGCTACAATATCTACAATCTGGCGACATGATGATGAATGAGAATGATGAATTATGATGAATGATGGATAGAAAATGTTCCAAGTTCCAATCTGCTACCATTTGAATCTGCTAATCTGCGCTCACAATTTCTCACAGGTTCCCTGGGCCCGCGGCAGTGGCATCTGGAACGCTGAAATTGTGCTCTGCATCGACCGCTAGGGGCATTGAAGATGAAATCACCGAGATCTCGGTCGTCAAATGCTGCTGCTACAAGCTCTCAGTACAAGGTCGATACCGTCGATACCGTCGATACCGTCGATACCGTCGATACCCAAAACCTGCTGATTCAATGCTCAGCAACTAATCCTTCTACACTTGCAACATCTTACAACAATTTGACTGCAGCATATCACAAAGGCAACACATGGCAACACCATATCCCAAGATTCCCAAGCTAGGCTGTGAGCACTTCCACGGACATCACGTGCCCTCACCACCTCTGGTTGCACCAAACCACGGCCAATTAATAAATCTATCAAATGTCACCATGTCAAAAAAATGTCAAAATGTCACAATTCAATTAAATCACAAAAATACAATATGTATAAAGACGTGCGTGTGCGTGTGTACAATGTCATATATACTACATGGATATCCATAGTTTCAGCATGTTTCAGCTTGCTTCACTTTGTTTCACTTTGTTTCATTTTGCCCTTTCACATCCCTATGGCCCTATCACCAGGGCTGGGTCGATGACAATCGAGTGGCTCCCAGGTGGTGCCTGCAGGAAGGCCTTCGCGTGTCAGCTTCACTGAACAGGATCTCCAACTATCTCTATCTATCCCTGGATTCACGACATTTCGCGACATTGGATGACACGGATGCAAGTGCTTTTGATGTCTGATGAATTCTCATAATATCTTGGTTTTTCATGGTTTTTCATTGTTCCATCTGTTGTATGCTTCTCGGTTTGTTTTTTACTTGATTTGATTGTTGCTTTTAATGGGCCTGCGGTGACCGATCGAAGGGCCTGGGTCCGATCAATTGCCAGCAATTGCTGAGTAAAACATGAGAACACCTTGAGGCCCTTGCCTGAAGCGTCGCCTGCAAACACATCAATTGATTGGCAATTTGCTTGCGGAGTGTGTGCCACTTCACTAGATAATGTGAGTAAATGTGAGTAAACTGGATGGCAGCGAATTGTGGCACAATAGTTACATAAACGAAGTGCAGCTAATCTAGGTGAACTACGACCAGTTTTTGTAACCATAGGCAAGGCCACACCATGCAGCACCTTTCATCTGAACTGAGACATCAACCCACCGAGCTTCATCCAGAAACTGTCACTGTCCGGATCTTCCTGCAGCGAAAATCAACATGTTGTGTCCACCACTTCCACGGGAGTGAACGCTCAGGTGAGTCGCTGCCTTGAGTATTGCAAGGCATTCTTGAAGCAAACAGAAGCAATTGGAATAATTACTCTTCACATCTCTTCACTGAGTATCATCAGTACTGATCACTTCTTTGCATGAGCAATACTTATTTTGGCCTTTTCTTACAACCATGGCCCAGTGAGTTCGCAGCGCAGCACCGGTCCCAATCGATGCCCAAATCTTGCGCACCTCGTCATTCAGCACTGCAGGACACCAGTGTGACGAAAACAAAAAATCGAAATGTACAGTAGCCATTAACACTTATGAGGTCCCAAATCACGCAATAAAGTAGAGCAGGTAAAAATATGTTAAAATAGCCAAATAGCTACTGTACAATTTCTTGTTTGGGTTTTGCTTTTACACATGATTCTTGCCGCTGAGAAGCTTTGATTTATTGCCTGGCAGCACGTTCTCATGCGGAAGAAATGGGACATGCTATCAATGGAAGTGACGGCAGTATCCATCTTCCGGTGCCTGGAATGGAAACGTTAAGAACTCATACTCCAGGCCCAAGAGGTCTTCATCTTGCCTTGTTTGAAAGGGGCAATCTGCGCCCGGTCAGAGTACAGCCGCATGACAGCCACTAATGTCACTAATGCAACATTGGCAAAGAAAAATGAGGACAGCACCACTGGGATGTGTTGATCCGGAAGGTAGTCCTTGCCATCAAAAGAGACACCAAGCATGGTAGTCCTTGTTTCCCCAAAATATTCATCCCTTAATTGAAAAACAAACCATTTCATCACATGTCACCAACCTATCTGCGGCACGCCCTCGGAGTGCTCTTTTACAAACATTCCATAATTCCATAGCAATAGGACCTGGCCTCAATGACAATCCCCTGAATCCAGGCATCACCTCAATTTAAACACGGTCATGCAAATGTGCTTACGGCAACCATGTATGAGTAGTATATAGAATCGTCTGGCTCCAATACATGTTTGTTGATGCTAATCGACATTATGAAATTCATTATGATAGTGTGAGATATTATGAGGTTGTGGCCCATTCTGACATTATGGTATGTTATGAACTGTTATGACAATTGATGATATATCTATTAACATATTATAAGTTATAATAGCTATATTATAATAGTATAAGTTATGTATATAAATTATAACATTGTAATGTAGAAGCCTCTGGGGTATTGAACAAACTCCTAAAGTAAGTGCGTCCTTTCTGTCAGGTTCTCAGGTCATGACAGAAATCAAACCACCCAGTGGAGCTTGGTCAGCAACGAACATGGGCGACTGCGCAGCGATGGCCACACCATTCTGCAGCACGCTGTCCAAAGCGGGCCGGTTTTCAGCCAGCACCTGATCCAGCATTTCCTGACTCTCGGACTGAAGGAGCACATGGAAATACGGAACTCCTGCTGTCAACTGGCCACCACTGCCTGACCAAAGATGAAGTAATCCATCTGAAGCGTTGTAGGTCGTGGACAACGCTCGTTCCACCACCGCAGTCAAACGATCTTCCACCAGGAACCACCGCCACTGGACGCCCGTTGGGGTCGAGCATTGCACGGAGCTCAGATCCATAAATGCGGACACTTGCGGCACGCCGTCTGGAAGCTGAACAATGCCGCTGTAGCCATAGGAAGGGAACTGCAGTCGGAGTGGAGCGAAAAAGGATGAATTCACCTGCACAGCCTTTCTAGCAATGGATTCAGGACCACCTGAAACCCGACGCACAATCACCGAGAAACGATGCATTCCCGCTGGGAGCTGGCCCGACGCAACCCTGATTTTTGATCCTCGGCCCCCTGTGCCATCCGTCTTGGGGAAATCTGCTCCAAATTGTGGCAGTTGGGCGCAGGCATCACGCTCGCCCACCTGAACAACAGAAGAACAAATCCAAGAAAACTGAAAGTCCTCCTTGGGAGCTGTTGGCCGGACTGGATCCCAAACTTCTGCCTCAAGTTCGAAGTCGCACTGAGATGCCAACCGAGGACCTATGATGTAAACCTTCACTTGTGGTAAGGGCTCCACTGCTACTCTGAACATCACGTGAGGTCTAGGTGCCAGGGTTGGTCGCATATCAAAAGCCGCTACCGCACGAAAAAGGTGAAAGGTCCCAGGCTGAAAAGCCAAAGGTGCCAAATGCACTTTGTTTGGATCTTTGGCCAAATCTCTCAGAAGCCCGTTTGCAGAGCTTGCATCCAGGCTTTGCCATGAGAGTTGATTGGAGGATCTGTAGTGCCAAGTGACATTAGTTCGACCAGCGCTGGTGCCAGGATTGCGATCAGCGCATTGCAAAGCAAACGGTGCTTCCCGCGTGCTGACTGCCAGATGCAATGCATCGCTGTGGGGCAGAGTTATTTCAGTGGCCCCAATTGCACTCACCGCGGGCTCTGCTTGAGAGGTTAAACCAATGATGCTAGCAGAGGCAACTGTTTCAGTACTGTTGCCCAAATCATTTCTAACAGTCAACCGCACCTCCAAACGAACTTCGCCTTCTCGCAGATCTCCGAGTGCTGAACCCGCTTTCGACAGAATTGCTGGACTGATAACGATCGTCGACATGCTTTGGGCCGTAGCCTCTTCTAAAATACCTGCCAGCAAGGGAATTCGAAACCAGCTGGGAGTTCCAGGGCCAAAGCCCCAAAAGTATTGAAGTGGCTCGCCCCGAGATTCTGTAGATTTCGAGCCACTGAAAATCAGCTCGCTGCAAGCTTGAGTGGTGCTTGGAATGGCTTCCAGTGAAGCCACTACGAACGGTGCAGGCACATTGGATTGGCTTTGTCCCAGCCATGGCAAAAGCGATAACAAGGACACAAGAAGGGCTGGCATTCAAGAAGCCCTCCGGCAGGTCGTCGATTCATCTACCATCAGGAGGGCCTGCTCACGTTGAAATCTGCCAGGAACACTATTGGTGCAAACGTACGGATCACCCTAAAACAAGATACAAATCAACAAATAAGCCAACAGTTTCACAGGAGCAGGTTGAAGAAATGCAACGTGAAGAAATGAACACAGCAACTCTCAGCTTTGCAAAGCTAGGGGAACCAGCCACGGCCTCACAAAGGTGCCACGAACACCACGAGGATCTACAAGTCGCTGCTGGCTGGGCTCCAAGCCTTTGGCTTGAGCAACAGCTTGAGCCAAAGACGTGTGACATATCACAACATGTCACAACATGTCGCAACTGGCCACATCTTTTCTGACTGTTTAGTGACTGAGTCCTATAGGCGAAGAGACGACCGTGCAGTAGATCCACTTTCTGTTCGTATGATGTATACAATGTGGATGGATCTATGCATGCACTTGTGTGATGTCATAAAACCTACTATGCGCATACTCTGTGGGTGTGTAAGCTAACATATTATATATATGATCTATATGCCTCAGTTCCGTCAACAGGTGCAGCTCGACGGTGAACATGTATCAAGTTGAGAGATGTTGAGAGGTGCTGAGAGATGTTGAGAGATGTTGAGAGGCTAGAATCTAGAAAATAGACCTGATATAGAACTGATCTGGACGCTGTTGGACAAGGAGTGGCACCCAAAACTCAAACGGCTTCAGATAGGCTTCGGAATGGGTGCCAAAGCATCATGACAACAAACAAATAGCAACAAAACCAATGGACGAAGTTCACTTAACTGGAATCCTTGATTGACGATTATCCTGCATTCTTTCCGTACTTGATGGTCCCCTGGAGGGTACTATGCTAAACTCTCCAGGGCCCTTCGGTTGAACTTTTTTCCCGGAGCACGACGTTTCTGGATAGCCATGATGGCACGTGAAGAAAAGACCTGAGTGAAGTGCCTGCTTTTGTGCCAAATGCCTTCAGTATCGTTTGATTCACGTAGCAGCTCCAGGGCCCTTCATGTTCCGCGAGAATTTCCAAGCAGTCACCATCAGTCAGTTCTCAGTCTGTGGCGTGAAACCACTGAAACCACTTGTGACACATCCGCGCTGCGTCACCTGTGTGCAGTCCTGCTCTTGAAGTTTAGATTGTCCCATCCTATAATATCCTATACGCCCTCTGACACAAGGCAAGAAATCCATGGTCCATGAAATCATACATAAATCATAAATAAACAGTCCTAAGTCCTAGGTCACAAATCAATACTCTGACAAAGTCTCAAAGCAAAGAACTCGCTGCCATTTTACACCGTTGGCGGCGGGTGGTCTCAAAAAGATATGGTTCAAGGGCCCTCGAGCCCGGAAATGGTCACGGTGGCAAGGGTCAATGGATGTGGGAAATAAGGCATGATTCACAGCTTCACTTTCAAATACAAAGCATATGACATATGATCAGTTGGCACAGGGGTGGACGCTCGCGAACTACAATGAAGACATGCTCAGAAGCAGAAACGGCACCTGGATCATTGCAGGCCATTGCCTCAGGCTCCGCCGGCTGCCATGTGCCATGTGCCTCAGGTTGTCCAAATAACTTGAGACCTGGAGGGTGCGGTGGTGCGGTGCTGGTGCGGCTACTTCAGGGGGGCCGCCTTCATGGCAGTCCCAGCGCCAGTCGCACAACAGCCACAACAGTCACAACAGTCAACATGTCCAAGCACTCACTTTCGCAGCAGGGAACTGGGAAGTAGGTGAACCAACGGGATTGCAGGATCAAAACACCGCGAACTACCAATGATTCAATCTCCATACAGGTCAGATATGTCAGGGCCAACTGGGGCCATGTCACTATGTTTTTGTTGCGAGTGTCTGCCACTGCTGATATATCCCAGCATATCCCAGCACCTAGCTGTGCGGTGGGTCCTGCAGTTGATCCGCCTGATCAAATTCAACACTTTTGGCGACCAAATTTGCCAGGATTGAGCCTTGAATGGGCCTTGAATGGGCCTCAAGGCCTTGTCCAAACAAGGTCCAAAATTACTACTATTCATCAGAGTGGGGCAACACGCTTTACTTTTCTTATCTTTTGTGGGGCATACCATTACTCAAACTCAAATCTTTGTGCACCACCCTGGAGATTGTCTGTCTTCCAGCCAGCCAACTACAGCATCACAGTCCCCCATGAATTGCGTGGCTTCTCATCATCGCGCAGCAAAAGAACAAAAGCGCAAAACCATAATTGTCAAGAAGAGCTCAAGAAGTATCAATAAGAGCACCTACACGTTGAATCAATATCACATAGTATCCCATGGTATCACAACCATTCACAACATGTATCCAACATCAACAACCCAAGTGACACTCGTCTTGGGAACTGCCGTGCTGGCTTGACAGAGGCCCAGCATCCTGTCCTAAGCCCCTCAGGTCCAGGAGCCTGACTCAGTGGAGCATCGAGTTGTATCCCACACACATCCAATATCATCTAATGTCAATCAATGTCATCTAATGTCACTCAATGTCAATCAGTGCCAATCATCAAAGCTGTGAGATCCATTGAGAGCCATTTCGAGATCCATTGGGATCCTGGGAGCTGGACCAAAGCCAAAGCCCTCTGCAATCAGGGACGCAAGACTTCCCCAGAATGTTGACCTCAGCTGAACTCAGCTGCACTTGAAATTGAGCTCGGGACGCTCGGCCATCTATTGGGTTTGCCGACGGAAGGGATTGTATTGGAATGTATTGGAATGTATTGGAATGTATTGGGTTCATTTCAGCTCATAGTCAGTTCATAGGCTTTATTCATCTTCATGCTGTGGACATTTGTCTGGGCATCACTGGGCATCGCGCTGACGTCTCCACTTTTCTCAAGCATCTCTTTGCACATCTCTTTAAGAGATTTCAATGCTGCAGATTGAGGGCCCAAAGCCTGCACCAATTCCTCAGTGCCAACATGTGCCAGCTGAGACGCAAAGTCTGGGACCATTTGGCACCATTTCAAACATTACCAAGGTCCAAGGTCCAAGGTGGCCATGATGTGGCCATGTTGGGTGCGGATGTTATACTGGATTCATCTGGGTTCAACACGGTGCAGGAGCAAACTCAAGAGGATCACTGACTCATCCCTGTGGTTCGGCAGGGTGTTACCAGACCCTCACCTGCACAGCATCTGCCAAGAATCCTCTGGTATGTCCTTGGAAACTGTGATCTTTGAAGCCGTCCGTGGAGGAATCAAGTTTCGGACCACCTCGCGACAAAGCCAAGGCGATGCAGGGATGCTGGCAATGCGGCCATGGGGGCTGAGGCTGCAGCAAGTGCGAAACTGCTTTAATTCAACAAATCATCAAATGTCATAGTCATAGCGTCATAGGGCTATAAACTAAGTTATATCTCAAAAAACACAGCGCTTCTTTATGCATTGTTCGTATCTATTTAAAGTTATGATATATATTGATATATATATATATATATACACGTGTATGCATGCATGCATGCATGCATGCATGGATGCATGGATGCATGGATGCATGGATGCATGGATGCATGTGTGGATGGATGCATGTGTGGGTGGATGCATGTGTGGATGGATGCATGTGTGGATGGATGGATGTGTGGATGGATGGATGGATGGATGGATGGATGGATGGATGGATGGATGGATGGATGGACGGACGGACGGACGGACGGACGGACGGACGGATGGATGGATGGATGGATGTGGAATGTGTGTGTGTGTGTGTATGTATGTATGTATGTATGTATGCATGCATGCATGCATGCATGCATGCATGCATCTATCTATCTATCTATCTACCTACCTACCTACCTACCTACCTACCTATCTATCTATCTATCTATCTATCTATCTATCTATCTATCTATGTATCTACGTATCTACGTATCTACGTATCTACGTATCTACGTATCTACGTATCTAGGTGCCTATGTATCTATCTATGTATCTATGTAGCTATGTATCTATGTATCTATGTATCTACGTATCTACGTATCTACTATCTACGTATCTACGTATCGTCTATGTATCTACGTATCTACGTATCTACGTATCTACGTATCTACGTATCTACGTATCTACGTATCTACGTATCTATGTATCTATGTATGCATGCATGCATGCATGCATGTATGATCATGTATGTATGTATGGATGGGGCACCAAGGTCTGTAGTTGTGGCCGCCTTCCAAGCCATTGAGAAAAGCACAGAGGCATTGATGACGTACATGTGGGCAACTGCTTCCATGTAATAACTGCCAACTTCTAAAGCACACTTCATCTTATCCATAAGCTCTCTGGAGGAGAGGTGTCGAAAACTCACACCTTGCATGTCATAGACCTGAATATATCCCATCAATCTCTTCTGTTCCTCACTCTTCTGTGAGACCCACAGGTCTTTATACTCAAACACAGCATGGCTCCACGCTGAAACATCATTTGAAGGAAGGCTCGAAAGGCTCCCTGTGTTCAGGCTGCCAGCATGCCAGATCGAAACTGGGGAGCCATCCGCTGCTCGAAGAACACAGGGTCGAACTTTGATAAGCTTAGAGTACACTTCCAATTCATTTGGGAAGTGGATGTCGCTAGTTCCTGCCATCAGGCTAGCCTGTTCTCTTCTGACATCATCTATTCTGTTGGTAGCTCTCCATGCAGTGATCTCGTTCCACTTGGCCACAGCCGCATTGGGATCATAGCCCATCCCAATGAGGAGTCTCAATGCCTGCTGCTTCGTTGGAGCTGAATCTTTGGGACAACGCTCCTGCACTTCAGCCACGGCCAAAGTGGCTTGGTGGAAGCTGATCTCAGGAGGCACTTGATCTTCTGCAATCAGAAACCCTGCAATCCGACGGATCCGACCGATCCGGGCTGCCGAAGGCTCCGAAGGTTCTGGACCGTCTCTGTCGGCTCTGCTGGACCTGGAGCTGAGTCTGGAAGAGTCTGGCAGAGTCTGGAGGGAAAGTCAGGGTGTTAGAAGACTCTTCCAGACTCCTAGATATGGAAAATCTTTAAGCTGTTTTTTCGAAAAAAAAACATAGAAATCAGCTGCCCACATATGGAAAAGATCAAAATCATGGGCAGTATTCTGAAGGGATGATCAGAGGGATTTGTCATGAAGCTTCCGACATCGTCTGACGCTCTGCCAACATCTTCCAACAGTGACAGCGGTGCCAACTGCAACCTGGAGACACAGACTCCCGAGAGAGCTCTGCGAGAACGGACATGCCACGCGGAGATGCTGATGGGTCCACCTGCAACGCTCCAAGGTCCCATCGACCCACTTCGTCAATGTCTTCACACACCAATGTAACCTCTCTATCCAATGGTCCAATCTAAACATCATCTAATCGAATTGAATCAAATCTACAGATAATCTATCCGTCCATCCATACATCCATGTATCCGTTTACCGACCTGTCTGCATACCTACCTACCTACCTACCTACCTACCTAGCTATCTATCTATCTATCTATCTTTCTATCTTATCTTATCTTATCTTATCTTATCTTGTCTATCTATCTATCCATCCATCCATCTATCTATCTATGCATCTATCTATCTATCTATCTATCTATCTATCAATCTATCTATCTATCTATCTATCTATCTATACTTAAGCCCATCTAATCTAATCTAATCTATCCAATCTATCTAATCTATCTAATCTATCTAACCTATCTTAACTACCTGCCTAATCTCGTCATGAATCATTATCTATGTAATACACGTTTTTTCCAATCTATTCTTGTGTATCTATCATATCTCTCTCTGTATGTCTCTGCACCAGCTGTATTGCCAAATGCTGAGCACTGTTTTTTCAGCTTCCGATTGGCCTGCCATGCAGGTCTAAGAATCGAAGTGCACTCAGCTGCTCCTCGAGGAGTCCTGGGCCAGGTCTCAGCTGCTTGGCTGCTTGTGAACAATGCGAAACAACCCGGATTGTACCCAGATTGTACCCAGAGTATACCATTCCCTGCATATTGCTGCTGCAATCCGCTGCATCGTCTGAAATGACGAAAAATAGATGGAAAAAAGATGGGTAACATGAATATATGCATATATATATATATACATGTGGAAGTGGATGGGAAATAGAATCACAGAATCAAACATCTCTATACATCCCCCACCATTGATTGAAAGCCGCAGTTTTTTTGCGGGTTTGGCGGTCCTCCTTTGGAGGTCCTGAAATTTCAACGCGGCCTCTGAGGTCGGCCCACCTGGATCTCGCTTTCGCCAGTCGGCGCTGAGAAGGACTGTATACATATTTTGCATTGGACTCACCGACATCAAACATACATATATATTCACATATATATTCACATATACATATACATATGTATATATATATTATATTATACATATACATCATACATATAAATATACATATACATACATATATATATATATATGTATAATATTGTATCATTATATATGTGTGTGTGGTTGGTATATGAATGTAAATACTATTAAATACTTATGCATTGTGTGTGTGGTCACTCGTTCATGTGTGATTTATTGATCTATGTTTAACTGTATCCATGGTTTCATATCTGAAATATCTCGGAACCAAACGGGCCAGAACAAAGGAAGTGTTGTCAAGCTAATTACACCTTGCAACTTCATGCAGCTTCTCGAACTTCATGTTCAGAGCTAACATGGATGAATCATGATGAATCTGAAGCCCCGTGCCTAGCAGTTGGATGAGCTCATCTGGGATTCCACGTGAGACAGAGATCTTCGAGGCAGTCCACGGGGAGATCAGATTACGAACAACCTCGGCAATCTCATCCTGTATGCATATTGCGACATATTGCGACATATCCTTTTCTCCCCAACCACAGACATATCCATTCATGTCCTATCCTTGTGATGGGTGATTGAGTGATCCGACCTTAAGTGCGTTGAAGGGCCAGTTTTGCCAACAACAGACTAATGACTAATGGACTTAATCTAGCAGCATCCGTTCAACCAATCAATAGCTTTATGCACTGACGCCCGTCAGAGGAAGTGACAAATCCAATAAGACGATAAAACATGATAAAACCTCAATACAATTAGTTTCCTTCAATGAATGGACATCCATCTATATCATCTCTGCATCCTTTGTGTATGCCCATGCCCAGCCATGCCCAGCCACTCTCCATGCAGCAGCGAAAAGTGTAGAGGAATTGATCACAAACATGTGGCTCACGGCTTCAACGTAGAAACCACCAGTTTGCAGAGCTGCCTTCAGCTTCTCAGCAATTTCCCGTGACGAGTACTGTCGCCAATTCATGCCGCTCATGTCATAGACCTGGATGTAGCCCACCAGCCTTTTGCTCTTTTCACTCTGCTCGGTGATCCAAAGATCTTTGTATTCATAAACTGCTCGGCTCCATTGAGCCACTTTCTCATTTGTCAACAGGGAAACGTTCTCCACATTCAAAGTGCCTGCATGCCAAATGGATATGGGACAGCCAGTGGTGGATAGAAAGGCACAAGGACTTGTGCAAATAAGCTTCTCATGCACCTCTTCCCGATAGGGAAAGCTGACAGGGCCATCAGCAGCAATGGCTTCTGCTTGTTCTTGGCGGATCGAGTCAACGCCATAGGCAGTTCGCCACTCCACAATTTCTCGCCATTTGGCCACAGCTGCTGGCCCGCTGTACCCCATTCCCAGGATTAATCTAAGCGCCTGCTGTTTTGAGGTGGGCCTTATGGCACAACATTCAGAGTACACCTGCTCAACCAAAGCATCCAAATCCCGATCCTCCACGCCAGGTGGTAGCTGGTCAGCTCGCAACAAAAAACCAGCAATCCAAATAGATCCCTCTGGTTCAGATGTTTCCAGACCTTGGTGAAGTACTGCTTCAGCAGAAGCTTCAAAAGAATGTTCACACTGTTCACACGAGGTTCTGAGTTGACTCTCTCTCTGACTGGTTGACGAGCACCGTGTGGAACCGGTGGCTGTTGATTTTGTGGACCCGGTGGCGCTCTCCTCCGAGCTCCGTCGTGGTGATACCATGCGTGGTCTAAGAACTGGCGCCAAGGTTGCCGGGGAAGAAGCATCTGAAGCTGCCGAGAGAAGCCGGTGCAAATGCAACGCAGATGGTGAATTGGGTCCACCCAGCTCTGCCTAAAAATTGGCCACTCGTGACAGCTGCCATGTATAGTTCAAATTAGTTCAAGGTATTTCATGCATATATATATAATTATATATATACATATATATATATCTACTTTAGGCATTTCAAGGTACTTCGACATAATTCAAACCTCTCTCTCAATCTCGATCTTTATTATATTAATATAATCCATGGTTTATAATCTATGTGATATTTAGTTATATATATTTAGTTAAACAATTCAGTCTGATGGTCAGTGGTGACTATCGCCATCCTGTTAATGGGGCCTTTTTATCATTCCTAGGAGCACGTTGCACATGAGATACAAGGAGTCGCAGAAAGAGAATTGGGACACTTTCATATGTTCTTCCTTCATTGGGCACTGCTGCCTACTCTGAATATCCAAAATGCAATTGTCATTAGTTCTCATTCAAAGCAACCATCGCAAAACAAAACTATAACAAATGCAGGGCAGCTAATGATTGCTGTTGGATACTATTACCTGTGAAATCCTGTGAATGTTCTACACCTGCAACCAGGTTGCTATTAGTTCGTCGGGAACTTCACTTGAGACCGTGATCTTGGACGCTGTCCAGGGCGACAAGAAACCTCGAACCAGCTTCCATGCCATGGAGAACAAGCGCGATGCATTGATGACATAAATGTGCGCAACTGCTTCGACATAGAACCCCCCCGCTGACAAAGCAGCCTTGAGCCTCTCTGTGACCTCTTTTGAGGTATGTCGAAGGCTTAGGCCTTGCATGTTGTAAACTTGGATGTAGCCAGTGAGTCGCCGGGTTCTCTCGGTTTGTTTCGTTACCCAGAGGTCGGCATATTCAAAGACTTCACGGCTCCAAGCTTTAAGATCTTCCGTGGGCAAAGATGTGACCTTGTCAGCGTTTGTTGCCCCAGCATTCCACACAGACACAGGGCGCTCGTCCATAGTGAGGAGGGCACACGGACAGCCACGGAACAGCTTGCTATACACATCACTATCATTCGCAAAGGTCACGGAAGCCTCCCCACACATCAAATCATCTAGGCGAGAACGAAGCACATGCATTTCCTCGGCCTGTCGCCATGCCACCACATCCCGCCACTTGGAAACAGCCGACTCTTTGTTGTATCCCATCCCAAGGACTAACCGCAAGGCTTGCTGCTGCGAGATGGGTCCAATGGCGGAGCACGCCTCCAGAACCTCCCTCACTAAGGCATCCAAATCTCTGTCCCCCAATCCTGGTGGGAACTGCCAATCATACCTGAGAGGGGAACGTTCTATGCGCGATGGATCACAATGTCACAATAGAATGGGGCAGTTTCTCGATGCAATTTGCCTCCTGCATAGTGTGTAGGCAATGTGGGAAATGAAACATCTTCTACACTTTGGGGGATTGTTCGGTGGCCCTCAATGTGACCAGCTGCCACATGCAGCCAAGGCTCAAATAGAATCCAGCTACTTTCGTGCCAGTTTGTTCCCCAAATATGGCTGGCGTCTGGCAAGTGTCCGTCTTTGGACAATCTTGCACCGCGAGCTGGGGGTTCGCTTGACTAACTTCTACCGGTACTTCTTCTGCTGGACCTGTCAGCACAAGAATGCCATGAACTATTCAGACCAAGCTTCAATCATCAAGGGTCCATTGACTAAATAGCAGCAAAGGCTGAATGTGATCGTGATGACAAACGCAGCACGTCTAGCATGAAAACACAAAATGATTGCTCCCAGATCCGGTGCTTCAGGCCTAGTCGTCCAAAACATGTTCGCAAGATCCTGCCTGGGAAATCATTAACTTGTGCTGGTAAAACCAGCTGTGGTGTCTGCGGCCTGCAGGTCGTGATGACATTTTTGTACATTCCAGCAAGGCTGGTCAAGAGAATTGATACAGCTTGGAAAGGGTAAACTATGGTAAACTGATGTTGCAAATAATCGCAAGTTATATATATATATGTATATATGTTGTATAGGTTTAACCTGGCAACGTGGTTTCCATTCCTTAAATTGCCGTACCAAAGGCCACTTCCCAGAGGCCAACTGCCATTTCCCCGGGGTGGCAACTTAGCCGCTTTAGCCTTCGGAAAGTCCGTCGGTACAGCCGGAAGCACCACTTGCCAACCTCAACAGCTGCAGCAAAGCTTGACAATTGTGCCAGCCTATACCTCGAGCTGGAATCTTCCATGTATAATATATCTATGTATATATATATATATATGATATGTATATATATATATGTGTATATATATGTGTATATATATATATATGTATATATATATATATGATATGTGTGATTATGTGTGTGTGAATGGCTTGGTGGTGATTTCCAGTCCAACCAGATAGTTACAGAGCAAATTAGTTTCATTGACCTTCATCGATATCTTCATTGCCAAAAAGGCTAAAAGCATCTAAAAGCTAAGTATCTGTTCAATTCTGTTCATATCTCAATTTCTAAGGTCAGGACAAAGCCGCAAACAACCTGCTGGTGGAGAGCTCGACCAAGGGCAGAAGGAGCAAAGGTATAAAGGATTATGAAGGGTGCAAAATATGTGCAAAATATGTGCAAAATATGTGCAGATTAAGAGTTCAAATGAATAGCACACTTTGTAGAATATTTACATCAATCAAGAGTTCCTTAGCTGGCGCCCTGGGTGTGCAGAATCGTGAAGAATCACATCAGCAACTAGCCGCACTAGCCCAGCTAACCTAGAGTCAACGTGCCTTCGCAGTGCCTATCATGACCAGGCAGACAGTTGCCGGAATGCTGCGCTTCAGAGAGCACCATGCTGTTGAAATGAGCCTTGGGAATAACTGGACGCACAATGACGCAGAACTCAAGAAGGCATGGTGCTGTAGACCTCTGGAGGCGTCGCATTGCAAGATCTTTGAATATATATGTTTGAAATAGATACATGGTCACATGTGTATATATATATGTGTGTGTGCCTATCTATCTATCTATCTATCTATCTATCTGTCTGTCTATCTATCTATCTATCTATCTTATCTATCTATCTATCTATCTATCTCCCTCTCTCTCTCTCTCTGTTCTCTGTCTCTCTGTCTCTCTGTCTCTCTGTCTCTCTGTCTCTCTGTCTCTCTGTCTCTCTGTCTCTCTGTCTCTCTGTCTCTGTGTCTGTCTGTCTGTCTGTCTGTCTGCCTGTCTGCCTGTCTGCCTGTCTGCCTGTCTGCCTGTCTGCCTGTCTGCCTGTCTGCCTGTCTGCCTGTCTGCCTGTCTCCCTTTCTGCCTGTCTGCCTGTCTGCCTGTCTGCCTGTCTGCCTGTCTGCCTGGCTGTCTGTCTGTCTGCCTGTCTGCCTGTCTGCCTGTCTGCCTGTCTGCCTGTCTGCCTGTCTGCCTGTCTGCCTGTCTGCCTGTCTGCCTGTCTGCCTGCCTGCCTGCCTGTCTGACTGCCTGTCTGTCTGTCTGCCTGCCTGCCTGGCTGTCTGTCTGTCTGTCTGTCTGCCTGCCTGTCTGCCTGCCTGCCTGCCTGCCTGTCTGTCTGCCTGCCTGCCTGTCTGTCTGTCTGTCTGTCTCTCTCTCTCTCTCGCTCTCTTTGCTATCATTTGTCTCCAGTTCTAATCCCAGGTGCTGGGGCTCTGCCCTGCTGCATGGCGAGGGCGAATCGCTGCAGGCTGACGATCCCAAACCTGGAAACTGGTCGCTGCTAAGATGCAGCTCTGAGCTCGGCGGAGAATGGGATGTTCACGATGTTCTATAAGTATGGCGCAATGACAGGATTACAAGTGTGATCATAAAGAGTCATGGGCAAGCAACGAAAATATCCGACACTTGACTGATTGACATTGATATCGGTATTCACAAGTTGCCAAGGACAGGATATGTTCATAGAAGGTTTTTGTACTCGGCAATTAGCTTCTCGGAGACGTTGACTGAGGGATGAAAGCCCTTCCCTCTCCAAAACTCAGATCGAGGGGCACTGGCTATATGCCCTGAAGAGACAATTCAGCAAGAGTCCCCTGTTTTTTTTTGCCTCCAGCTCACATACCACCACACCTACTGCCCACACCTACCACTCGCACATAACCCCAACATCTCTCACCTCTTTGATCCTTTTGGGGCTTATTAGAACTCATCCTCTCAGCCTCAGAAGGGGTCATGGTTGTTGAATTAAGTTGACCGACTAGATATGCACGGCTTCAACGCATTGTAGCTGCGGGGTGTCCCGACTGCCTGGACAGCTTGCGTCGTTGGACTCATTTGAGAGCTCAACCTGCAGGAAGACTGAAGCAGTCAGGTTAATCATGTATATGTATAGATAGATAAATAGATAGATAGATAGATAGATATATAATAAATATAGATATAATATGATATATAGATATAATATGTCGAAATAATATATAGATATAATATACTTATATATACATATATATATATGCATATTATATATATGTGTGTGATATATATATATATAAAGGAATGACATGGAATGTATGTATGTGTATGTGTATGTATATGTATATGTGTATGTATATAATATGCATATGCATATGTTTATATATATATATATGAATATATGTGTATGTCTATCTATCTATTTATTTATATATATATATAAGTATTTATTCATTTGTCTATTTATCTATTCATTTATTTGTCCATATTATAGATATTCAGTTATCTATGTATTTATTTGTTTATTTATGTATTGTTTATTCATTCATTTACTTATTTTATATTCTTTTATTTATATAATTATATAATGATCATGCGATTGGCTCAAGTTGTCACACACAGACTGAGACATTTTTCGCAGGAATGAGCGCTGAACCCCAAAGTTCGCACCCCCACGATTGTGCAACCCATGGCAACCCCAAAGAGAACCTCTCCATGCTCCACCATATCCAGCAAGTTTGACCTGCGGCTACAAATACAGTACCGCAAAGAAGCACGGCAAACATACGTACTCTAAATCTAAGATTACAGCACTTCTCTGCACCACAGATTGGTTGCATGTACATACATCTATGTACATGCACGTCCTACCGTGTGTTGCCATGTGCTACCTGATCTACCTGCTCTACCTGGATGTGCCCTGATATACCACAGATTGTGCTTGGGCGAACTGGCCGAACAATGCTGAAAAAAAAAAAAACAAAAGCTTGACCTGGACGATGTATGTTCACACTCCATCACCTTGTCTTGCAGAGGCAATCCAGTAGTGAAGAAAATGACCGAGCACGCGTCTGAGGAGACTAAAGCAACTAAGGACTAAGGTCCTCACAGCGCGGCTGCGGATGGAAATAGCAGTCGCCAATTAAGTGAGAAACTGAGGGTTGGGTTTGTTCTGCTCCTACTTTGTACGTTAGGATGTAAGATAAAGGTATCGAGTTCGAATGGGTTGCTTGGGTTGGCAGCGTATTTTGGATCCTTTGCTACTAAGTGTATCTTCATGGTCTAGTCTAGCTATGCCTGAATTGAACCAAGCGCACCGCAAGTAAATGACTGCAAGCAAGTGTGCTCGAATTAAATCATATTAAATCAAAAAATAGGAACTCCAAGATGTCTCAAACGAGGTCTGCCATCGGACGCAACCAAAGCTCAACGTCATTGATGCACGTATTGATGCTTGTGTCCATTTTCCGCTCATACTACGGTGCTTGGAGTCGGCTTTGCGGCTAGTCTCTAACGTCACCAAATGACACCAATTTGCCCGGAGCACCTTGCAAAGGGCAGGAAACATTCCGACACGGTGACCACACGGTGACCATATGCAAAAATGGTGCAGTCTGGCCTGGCAGTTTTTACGTGGGGAAACCATGCGGAGCTCTCAGTTGAAATCCCGGCCCATGGTGGCGGACCTCAGGGAATGGCATGGCCAAGGTGAACAGCTTCTGCAAGTTTCTGCGCGCAGATCTTTCGGGTGCAACATCAGCAACCAAAATGTATGTGCCAGTCGGCACAGTCGTTGTAAGCATTTCGTAATTACGGTGCAAGTCATTGCAAGTCCAAGGAATTGACTCCTCCGTGGTTAGAAGGCGGCGAGGGGCCTTTGATGCAGTGTCCACACAGACACAGTTTCTCAACTTATCATCTGAAGGGTAGGACTCAGCGCATAGAGAACCATGCAGGATAAAAATGAATTTGAATCAAATAATGTCATACAGTATCATCTATCTGAAGAAGAGCTCCGCATAGCCTCCCACAGCCCTGTACCTGGAGCTTTGCTCGCTCCCTGACATTCAGCTCTTGAATGTTCACTACGTACCCAAACCTGGGCTCAATCTGGCAGTCGGGGGGGGGGGTTGCGCTTCCCTGAGCACAAAGTTGCAGTTCCCACTAGAAAACAAGTGCCGGCTGCCATCCATCAGCATCGAGTCTTCGACTCTTGGTCTCCGTTAGCTGGATCTTGCAGCAGCAGCTCATCGCCATGCGACAAGAGGACCTGCAAACCCAACGAGACAACGTTTTTGTAAGGATAGGGATCCCAAAATGGATGCCCTGTGAGGAAAATTGGGTTCCCAAAACGGAAGCCCTTTAAGAAGGATTGTGGTTTCAATATGGGACAGGTTCCTATGGAAGCAAGATCAAGACTGGTGATTGTTTTCGATGTCTTCTTCCATGGCTGGAATAGGGTGTTGGTGATTGCAGCATTGTTTGGTTTCACTTGTGCAACCTCGTCTGGCAGAGGAATCATAAGAGGAAGATGAAAAAGAGAAAGAAAAAACAAACGGCTAGGAAGGAAGAAGAAACTGAATATGGATGAATACGGCTAACAAGAATCAGGATGAGAAAATGAAGATGGACAAGGATCAAGAAAAGGCTTTGGGGGGATGGATGTGCCCCCAATCTTCAAATTTTTCCCCAGCCAGTGGTTGTTAGATTTTATGTCAGTTGCTCCTCCTGCCTCCTGCCTCGTCCTCCTCCTCCTCCTCTCCTCCTCGTCCTCCTCGTCCTCCTTGTCATCCTTGTCGTCCTTGTCGTCGTCGTCGTCCTCGTCGTCCTCGTCCAACTGCGACTAGACTCTCAATTTTGATCAATTTAATTGATTGTCGCGTAGTGTATCAACGCTTGTTCAACACAAGTTGCAACCCTTTGCTAGCCGCCTTCCCTGTTGTCTTGGGCGGCAATCTGAAGCCATTCAGAAAGGTCCCGTTGGTGCTGCAGTCGATGACCTGGTCTCTGAGCAATCGAGCCGCTTGATTGGTGGACAAGCAGTGAAGGGCCATTACTGAGTTGCCACTGCTCTGCGTGTGTGCACTCTCCAACCTTTTTGGACTGCAGCTCGCGCATCTTTTGCAAATATTTGCAAATGCCGTCCGTTCCTTTGGAACAGCCTTGGCATAATTTGGGACCTAGCTATGCCATGCCAGAATCTAGTCGGGAGCGAACGTCTGAACCGAACAAATATGTAGTTTGATGGAATGCATGGCTGCCTATATAAGGTTTAATTTCTACTGTAGATGTTTTGTATGTCTCTGCTGGGTGTTCAGCAATGATTGGGTGGCAGTGCAGCAATGATTCCAATTGAGTGGCGGGTTGAAACCTCCGACCCCGTGCTGCAAACTGCTGCTCTGGTGTGCGGAAGGATCTTTCTTGCGCCTCGCAGCAATAAAACATAATTTGCAACTCCGGCAGCCTATCTTGGCTGCAGCCTCTAAGGTCCTGCGTGTTGCAAGACACCCTGACCTGAACATGTCTTTGCAGGTGGCTTCACTCCAGCTCTTCGACACTTCTCCTGGGCAGGAAGGAAAATAACATAAAACAACCAGACTGGACCTGATTCTCCGGATTGGTGTGTGCATTTTTGTTCGAGGAAGGCCCGAATGATGTGAACGATCCCTAATGCTGTAGAAAAATCAAACAATATCACCCACCGAGCTTCAGGATGAAGCCAGGCTTCGCTTTGGAAGCGGCGTCTTCAGGTCTTGCTTCTGCCATCTGTGCTCCCTGGAGTAACGCACGAACGAACCGGGATAACATGTAACAACAACACCCGCCCTCTTCCTCTCCCTCTCCTTCTCCCCTCGCTATCTCTCCCTCTCTCTCTTCCCCCCGTAGGCAATGGATGCAGTTTACGCAATTTGTGGAAGACCTCAGAGCTATCAATTGACTGCCAATCCGAGTTAAAAACGACCACCCCATCCACCACCCGCACTACCTGCAGGTTGCACAAAGCAGACCATTTGGATTAAGGACAAGCACGCCTTCTGGCAGTTCTTGGAGTTGGAACGATGCCATCCATGCCCATCTCCGAACGTGCAAGTCTTGGAGGTGGCAAGGAGGTACCCAGATGCTTCTCCGCTGCTCTCTGGTGCTTCACAGCTCCGTATCCAAGTCTTGGCTTCATATGAGCTTGTGAGCTCACTGCAGCTGGAGTGGGCAGACTGGATGCATCTGGACATGATGGTGCAGATGCACCGCCTATCTCTTGAACCTCCCAGTCAAACTCCTCACCCCACTCTGGATCCCAAGCTGCAGTCCTGGAGCTCTCTCGACTCTCTCGGCTCTCCTTACTCTCCTTGCTCTCCTTGCTTGTAAGCCTGACAGGCTGTGTCCTGTGAGCCTGCAGTGGCTGCGGCTGGGCTTCTTGCTTCGAGATTTTCGCTGGGATATCGTCTGTGCTCGGGCGCCTCAGCGCGCCCGGAGCCAGAGCTCTGCTCTCCCCGTTCTCCCCGTTATGGGTGCCAACGCTGCCAAGCGTGCCAATGTTGCTATCGTCGCGTCTGTGCATGGACTGAGTCCATGCTCCTGTGGTGGACGGACGAGCTACAAAGGAGCTCTGCACAAAGAGTGATGGTTCAGGCAACTCATTCATTCCCTGAAATCGTCCGCAGCCTGAAGTTGCTGGACGTAACTCATTTGCAGGGGCTACTCGCATCCAACTTGCGAGAATGGGTCTCTTTGTTGCTCCGGATGTTTGAGCCCTCATCAACTCAACTGGTGCTGGAGTGCACGGGTGGCCTGTGCAGTGCAAGGTTCGCATCCCTGTCTCCAGATTGGGTGACCGTGTAGATCCACGAAAGAGGCGGCCAGAACAAGCCCGTGCAGTTCCCGGTGTTTCGATCTCACGGTTCTGTTGGGCAATCACTAGTCTGATGCGAGTTAGGAGCGCCTCGTCTGCTGAGACATCATCCACATGAAGTGGATGACGACAGAGTGGGCAAGACACATCTGGCTGGTCATGACCAAGTTGTGCAAGAACAGATTTCAGCAAGCAGCCCTCGCAGAAGGCGTGGCCACATACCGTGCGAACAGGTTGCCAGAAGGGTTCCCAACAAATCGGACAAGTGAATTCTGCCAGTGCTGGATCGTCTGCATGGCGCCGCAGTTTCTTTAGCAACTCTTCGGGCGCTTCCAAACGACAAATGCTCAGAGCAGGGAGCGGAGCTCCATGGGATCCATGAGATCCTGAAGCACTTCCGGCTGGTCCGGTTGATCCAGTCTGCCGCACGTGGCGTTTTCGCAACGTGGCGAACATCCCAGAAATCTAACCCCGGAAAAGCCGGGACTGGGAGTGGCGTTCCATGAGGCCAACATTTGAGGCCCCACGGCCCTTGAACCAAAGCGATGGCCAACCCCAATGAATGCTCTGATATGCTCTGGAATGGATCTGAATGGTGTGCTTTGTTTGTCCAGCTGTTGCCCTTTTATGAATCTGTTCGCTACACTCTCCTGTTGACTATGTACTCTGGATTATTAGATGTTACTAGGTGACTAACCGGGTTGCAGCATGTCTGCAGTCTGACCGGGGACACACGCAGAGAATTCCAGAACTATCTAAGGCGTTCGCATAAACTGCGCCACGGTCCACATCTAGCTCCAACACGCAGTGCTGGCGCAGAGAGATTGTCAAGTCAAGTGAAGGCAAGTTGCACAAACACAAACTCACTCAAAGGGCCATGGGGTTGGGAGTTGGGACCACGAAATTGCAGAAGAAATCCGTCATGTCAAACGCTTCAGCAGGACTTGTCTAGAGACGATCTGCGCTGGAATCACGATGTCATTGCCCTTGTCCTTCCCTCAGTATCACGGAGGTTTTAAACAACTTGAATGACATGCTACACTGCTACAGAATTGGTTCCTTTTCGAAGAAATGGGGCACGGGCCAATTGACAGAATTGGCCTCAACAGCGTGACTTCGGAAATTGCAAGTTCATGCTGACAAAGCAGCTGTATTTCCGCGCGTTCAGCAGTGCAGTGCTCGTTCAGACACTCACTGACCTTGAGTCCACACAACTAAGCCTCGCACTGCGTTTGGCTCAGAGTTTTCTGCCCAGGTGGAAGGGTGTTCATAGGCGACAGGCGGCAAACGGCTGACTCTATGATCCTGGGCTTGGGAGGCCAAAGCGAAATTCGAAAAGTTCATAAAGGTTCTTATGACGATGTTTTACGATGTTTTACGATGTTTTACGCAATTCCATCCACACATTTTAAGGTTGCACCATGTTGCACCCACACCTGCAGCTCGCCCACATCTCAATCCCAAGGCCCCAACGGCGGCTTCAGCAAGCGACGCACCTTTGCTTCGCTGCGTCCCCAGTTGCCTTGGAAAACACTGGGATCAAATCATGGGATGGGGAAAGGCGGCTACATCGCAAACACAAATATACGAAATAAGCATTTGTCTATATATATATGTGTGTGAACCATTATTAATCTATATAACATAAATAATACATAAAATAAACATAATTACAGTACATGATATCAAATGTATACAGTATACAGGTATGGCAAGTTGCAAACTTGCTCTACATTATATGGCTACCCGCGACCAGCTACAACCTGGATGGCAGATACTCATTGTCTTCGCTCCTTGATCGCTTTTTTCACGGAATGCAGGTAACAATCTGGGCGCCGATCTATGCATCAAAACTCTTTGAAGCAAACGCTCAGCCTGGCAGCGACTGACAAGGTCTGGATGCAGATTGAGCAGCATGCTCAACTCGAAACGTATGGTCATGTTCCCAAGATTGGATGCGGTGTCAAAATTTGCCCCAATGACCCCTGGCAAAAGCTCACTGGCAAAATCTTACATGGCAGCCATAGCACTCTTGTTGGTAAAAAGGGTGCAACCGGGCCAAGATTGGCCGAAGCAGCCAAGTAAGAGTTGCTGATTTCATTTGTTCATTAATATTAGTTCATGCTTGTGCATTTATTTGTCCAATCGATCCCCACAATTCTGCAGCATTCTGTCCACTGCAGCATTCTATCGAAGCCTTCCGAATCTGCTCGGCGGAGCCCTTGAGGATGACCTGCTCACGGAAAGCTTCACCATGCCTGGATGTGAGGCCTAAAGTGCAAAAATACGCGAAACACAGCAAAACAAATGCTCAAATGACAACATGGATTTCTAGTGCATGTTGCCAGCAGCTCTTGGAACACACATTCTGAACTTCCCAAAAACTTATGCTGTAAGTTGACTTCGGTCCAACATCCTGTAAGAATAAGAATAACTAACGGCCTGGTCCTGCAAGTATGCATCTCTTCAATTCTCAAAGAGCCAAAGATCAACCACACCGCCACACCCTAACTCTCTCGGCATCACGGCATATTCTTGCGGATTCTTGCGCTGGCGTTCAGCTGGTTGAAGCCCCAAATGGGCCAAGCCAAAGCTAATCTACAATCTTCCATCTAACCTGGGACTCTTGGTACCTTTTTGGACTTGCACTCCAGCATGTGGCGCAAAACCACTGGGCACGTCCGTTCAACAGTCCCAATTGACCGGGCACACCATCTTGACCGCTGCGACCGCATTGGCACAGTGCTCCGTCACGCACTTTGGCACAACTGAAGCAGAAGAAACGATGCGCACGGACACTTCCGGGTTCACCCGCCTTGCCTGGTCCAACCGCACTACAATGGAAACACCGAGATGTGTATTCCAAAACACCCAAGAGCTGCCATGGCAGACTGCTACTCAAACGAAAAGCTTCTCCACCAGGCAGCATAGGCTGCAATAAGCTCAGAAGTGCATCCCATGCGCACTCGGCGGCTTGTATTGAATATTTCAGAAGCCCATCATGGGGCAAATGCCACTCAATGAAATTGCACACAGTTGGAATGAAGAACCGCTGCACTATCATTTGCCGACGTGTGTCCAAGCGCTCCTGGATTCTTTTCATCAGTCTCTGTATTATCTCCAGCGTGGGCTTTGGGTGAAAGACCATGTTCAAATGGAAGAGAACCTGGTTGGTTGCATAATAAAAGTTCAAGGGTTCGCTCTCAATGGCAGCCTCAAATAATACCCTGGCCCTATGTTCTTCTGCCTTGTGGAGCTCACAAGCCGCATGATACTGCGCGAAAGCGCTGTCTGGATGCCGTTCTTGGCATTGCAAGATGTCCACCTCAGCCATGCTGAACTGGGAGCCGATTCCCAGTGTAGGCTCATCATCATAGGTGGCATGCCACCAAAGGGCCGGAACAAACACCACGTCACCCGGTCTTTGAACAATTTCAACGGGCCTATCTTCGACGGGAAGCCGCAGTACAACTTCCGGGAGCTTCGCGGCCGGACACAGGGCCACAGCATCATAGGCTGTGGCTGGCGGACCTCGTGGTGGATATAACCACCACCTCTTTTGGCCCTGCTGTAAGGCCAACCATGCAGTGCCATGCTTGTGGAAAGCTACTCCATTGCCACCAGGCCCCGTGGACACCACAACCATTGAACACCTCATCCATTCAGGGATCGATCGCCAACATTCCCAAGGAACACTTCCAGGCTGCAAGTCTCTTAATGCTAACTGGCTGAAACAGTTACCCTTTTGAAATGCTTCCTGGAAGGAGCGTTCATCACCCAGCATAGATGGCCCAAACTGTGCAGCAAGTGGATCACACAGCACTGTGGCCGTCTGGAAGCTCGCCGAGCTGCTTGCCTCAGCTGTTCAGCAGATGACACTACACTCTCTACATCTCTCTACACTCTACAGTCGTCTACCGTGCGCTGTGTTTTTTGAAACGGTTTGTCAAAGGGACCCATGGCAAAATGAGAATGTTTCCGACGTTTCCAAGCAAAATCTTAGCAGTTTCGGAGAGACTGGTGCCCCACGGCTAACTGCTAACTGCTAGTGCCCCCAAACTGGACCAACTCAAGAGCCAGGTACCTTTGAAAGCAACACCTCCCTGGATTCATATGGCAACTTGAGATCTGAGGGAAAGCCAAAGACCAAAGGCTCGGAAAGACCTTGCCATCCAGCAGCCTGCAAGAAGGACAACATAGGACAACACAACATACTCTGCGGATCTCTGCGGTACTGCATCATACTGTGCTTCAACATGAGTGCTTGAAGAAAATCCTGGCCTGAAGGAGCAGCCCTTGCACTTCCAACACACTCGTTCTTGCAAGTTCTGCCCCGCAAGGCCGTCCAATGGGAGCAGTATGTCCAGTACCAGTCGGAGCCTCTGGCTTAAAATCGTTGCGGTGAAGTTGAAGCATGATCTGGTGCAACAGCCTGCGGGAGGTGCTCGAGGGCTTCACATGCTGCACAGGCCCGAAGATCTGCAGTGTAAAATTGTTAGGTTTGTAATGGTTTTTGTGTTTTGGTGTGTCCGGTAAGGCAGCTTGGCATAGCCTCAGACTGGATTAAGCTTATGATTCTTGTCATATACAGGTATATATATATATATGTGTATGTATGTATGTATGTATGTATGTATGTATGTATGTATGTATGTATGTATGTATGTATGTATGTATGTATGTATGTATGTATGTATGTATGTATGTATGTATGTATGTATGTATGTATGTATGTATGTATGTATGTATGTATGTATGTATGTATGTATGTATGTATGTATGTATGTATGTATGTATGTATGTATGTATGTATGTATGTATGTATGTATGTATGTATGTGGTGGCTGGTCGATATGTCTTTTCCCAGAAGTGTGCAAAATTCGTAGATAGGTGGGGGCCCGCTACATAATTGTAATTATGCATCATGCATCTTGCTATATCTTCTGAACTACAGAAAATCAAAGGGAGGAGAAGAAGGGTTTCATTTCGTTCAGAACGTTGCTAGCGCGAGGCATTTGACGTCAACCCCGCTCATGTTTTGAGCCTGAAGAAATGGGCCAGGGATGGTCTTGGCACATGTTCGCTAGCGCTTTACTAGCGCGAAGCTAGCGCCACGCTAGCGCAAATACATGCACAACTTTCAGAAATATCTGTGACAAGGACTGGGGATCCTAGAAAAAATGCAATGACTGAACTTTTCAAGACTCAGAACGTGATTGAAGCACCTTGCACCCCAAGCAATTTCGTACAAAACTGACTGTATGAAATTCATTCCATTCAAAGCAGCGGAATGCGCAAAACACCTACAAACAATCAACGACCCCACAGTTAGCATCAACACAAAGCAATCTGGATATTGTTGGCAAACAACATACTATCACATCATCTCAATACCATGCAAATTCCACAATCAATGCCAAGCCAAATATACAAAACAACTACGTCCTAGGAATACTAAAAACAAATAATGCAAGCGCGATGCTAGCGCAAATCTAGCGCCTAGGTGCAGAAATGCAGTGTTTAGGTGGGGGCCCGCTACATAACGAATACTAAAAACCTATTGTCGTCAATGAATTTCGCAACTTCATTTAAATTTTCTTACTAGGGATTTTGTATGTATGTATGTATGTATGTATGTATGTAATGCAATGTAATGCAATGTAATGTAATGCAATGTAATGTAATGTAATGTTATATTATATCATATCATATCATATTATATTATATTATATTATATATATATACTGTTCATGTGCTTGCACGTCTGCGCCTCAGCTGGCAGAGGTCATGTTCAACACGACTGCGTATTTTCTGGAGCTCCGTCCTCTTATCCTTGGTGAGCTCGGTGAGCTCCTCCTGGTTATATGAGGATCGCCTAGCTTGGAACTCCTTGCGCAGGGCGGCTTATGACGAAACAATGCGCACAGAAATTGCGTCATACTTCTTCATAATATTTGTTCTACATCTCATTAAAGATTCTATAATGTTCTAGATATTTCATTGTATTTCTATGTTCCAAGATCTGTGGGAGAAAAAAAACACAAAATCGGTAACTGGCATCCACCTCACTTACAACTCTTAAAACCTACCCAGCATAGCATACCTCAATTGCAAGATCCTCCACTAGTCAAGATTGGTATTGGCGTTCGTGCAATTTGAATCCCTACGTAACAAAGAGATTGCAGCCAGAGAACTGGATAGCCACCAAACCCAACTGCACTTTGCATCCATTTGCCCTGTCCAATCGGCGCCGCCATGCGCACATCACTGCGTCCTAGCCTGTGGAATCTGTATTCTACACTGCACTTGTCTAATGTTATCTATATTTATATAAATTTTATATAGAGTGGTGCGCATTTATATGTCTGTGATATGTCTATAGTATGTCTATGTTACGTGATCGTGCACTGATGGCGCGTGCAACGGCTGGAAGGTCTGGAAGACCACTTGGATTGCCTTGCCGCTTGACCTTTGGGCGTTTTGGCTTATCTTTAACTATCTTCAATCTGGAACTCTTGGGTACACAAGTCTTATATCATCTTATATAATTTTGTCTTATAATATTATTGTACTGTATGGTACATCATTATGCCATTACGCATTGATATCATTGATCTGCTACAGTAAGATTGAAACAATGAGAGTGTGCTCTCGCTGCTTGCGTTGCGCTATCTTGCACCACCTGAACCAAGCCCTGCTGCATGATTGTAAAGAACAAATACTGTATCTTCCAATATGCAAAGAACAAACTCCCACCTTCAGGAACCGGCAGTACAAAGAAACGAAAGGATGGAATGAATAAACAATGACAGGCGTCTAGTTCGTGCGCGTCTGCGCATGTCAGAAACAAGCCATGGCTGGGTTGGAAGACTACTCTCCGGCTGGAAGCAACCTCAAGTTCCCTCAAACTTGTTTCAACCATTTGCAAAGGCAATACATCCCAAAATATTGAAAGAGAATTTGACAAACTCCCAAGTAGGATCTATAAACATCTATAAAGATATGCAATCATCTGCGCTGTTTCCTGTTTCTCGCGCTCAGCTGCACTTGGTCAAGCTGAAAACCAGCTGTAAGCAGCCGTTCATCGAGCAAGTTGGCGTGACATTGGGACGCGTGAATGGTGTGAGTCGTTCATCATACCAAGGCACATGGCGGTAAGCATTGTAAGATCCTCTGCTTTATCAGTCAACTCCTTGACGTCACTGGCTCTGATCACATTGATTTCTCATGCTTCTCCCGCCACTGGTTGGCAAGCCTTCGAACTGCCTGGTTGCTGACAAGCTTGGCATGCTTCAGAATTCCATGGCCCATGGGAGACAGAACACCCGTTCCATGTCGTGGTCGGCATTCTAGTGCTGCTGTCTTGTCGTGAATCCACTTCTCGATCCACCACCGCCTCAGCTGTGCCAAACATCTTCCATGGCTAGTTGGACCCTGCTGCCTCCGGCACACAAACTACATCATAATCGTGCAACCATGCAAGTTGCAACACACCCCTTGCAGGCCTTCACATGTGATTTAGTCACTAGACACTTTAGTCACTCAAATGGCAGCTATCATGTATCCAAGAAGAGACCCTGCGACACGCATGAGCTCCGAAGAAACCGGCCCATCCCTGCTTCAAGTTCAGCTACTCATACGTCTCACCATCGGCAGCCACCACTGGATCTGTGAACAGCTCCAGGGACATTGGACAGCAAAGGTCTGGTGGCGGGCCATCAGCCTGGCTCTCTCCCAGAATCCTTCGCGTCAGTCTCACACAAGTCCAGAAAAGGACCGCTACCAGGAGCCCACAGCACCAGAAGGCCATGTCACCGGGGATGGTGCCTAGGGAATGGAAGCATTACGAAGCATTGATCAACAGCAACAAGCATTCACCAAGCATGCGCAAGTGTTGACCTATCAAGCAGCTGGCTTCAGCCACGTCCACAAGACGCACTTTGACCATTATAAGCAGCGTGTTATCAGCATCTTCAGGACAGCCAACAGCTCCATGAAAGCAAGCGAAAGAGAGCTGGGTTTCAAACTCTCGTTGATGTCGTCTTCAACGTCATTGCTGTGCTCCTTGCCGAGGAAGTGGTCCTATGGTCAAAACAAATCACTCCGAATGCACAAAAACATCCAAGAACTCCGCAATCCCACTTTGTGTTGGCAATGCCAATTATATCCGTGCGTTTCCAGTTTTTGTTGCCGATTTTGCCACAACCTTCGCAGTTCCTACGTCCTTCAGCAAGCTGGACAGTGTCAAGAAAATTGATTGCTGTCGAAATAGCACCGTCCACCAAATCTCAGATTCCATCACCAGATCGGACGCACCAGACTTCCAATCTGCATGCCTTGACTCACCTTGGCCCTGCCAAGGCCCTGTCACTTCAGTCGTGATAGGATCCTTAAGCCAAACTGCCAAAGTTGCCAAAACTGCCGAAACAACACGAAACAACAAACAAAAATAAACAGAAACTCAAAATGCACTGCCTCAAATCCTCAGCCCATCTCCTAGTTAAGTTCTTCGCATGCGGGAAACCATCTAACACCCAAAAAATATCAATGTTTTTATGCAAATTCAAAAAACTAGCACGCTAAGCATGCGCCAAGCGTCTCTGAGATAAAAGAGTTTCCGAGATCCGGAGGAACGCTTGCCAATCTTGCCACTCCCTGCCAGCTGCCGTGCCAACCTCAAAGCATGCTTGTACAGGGGTCAGCCGGTCAGCCTATTGTGATTGATGAGTCGAGTTTTCAACCTGCTCAAAATCAAGAACCTGGAAGACCGTACTCCCTAGAGAATTTTACTGCTAGATATGCCCCTTATCGCCAATTTAACTAGGAACAATAAAATATGATATATTTTATACAAGTTTCTGGTTCTGGGTACAGTTGCTCGCGCTACGCAATTTTGAAATCATTTCAGCTCAATCCTCTGAAAGGGCAAATGGGCAAAGCACTGCAGCCTCTAACTTTGTTGTACACAACCCCAGTGCAAACCTTGCATGATTTCCTCACCAAGATACGCTAGGTCTGCATCTTGGATGCTTCTTTGGGCTTTCATTTCGGCATTGCACCGCCTTGCGATATGGAATGCCATAGCTATAGGAAATCAACGATCAAATTGCCGAAGGATGCTGGAAGACTTTGAAGCAAACTTAAGCTGAGATACGTATCCAGAAGCTCCAACAAGACCTAAGTTCGCACTGCTGGTTGCAATTCAAGAGCGCAAGAAACCATTTCCCACGAACCCCTCTCTTGGTTCCAATTTTGTTTCCGGTTCTCCGGGTTCGTCCAACATGGGGCTGCGGCAAAACGTTCCATGCTCTTTTTATTTTCTACAGGTCAGACAGTCTTGACCACCATGGTTTTGCCTGCCATCACCTCCATTCCTGGCGCCATTTCTCTTTGTCTCTTGTTGGCAGGGTATCCCACCAGCATGCTACACATCATTCTTGCCTGTGCACGTGCATATCCGTAAATCCGGATTGTGTGGCATGTCTATGTTTACATGTGCCTATATGTAAATGCGTGCATGCGTGTATATATATATATATGTGTGTGTGTGACCCAGTATTGCGAACTGGTTTTGCTAAAACAACAGGAACACCCTTGGACAGGCATGATCAACCACAACCAACCCACCGACTAAAAAAACTCAACAAGCAGGGGGCACGGCGCCCGATTTCTTAGCCGTGCCAATGAAGCTACAGAAATCGGGTGGATGAGATGCTGGACGCAGCATCTTGTACCTGCTGCGGTGCATCTGGATGCGTGAGCGCATAGCTGATGGCCGCTCAAACAACACATTTTCACAAAACAACACATTTTCCCACAAAGCTTCGGAGTCCGAGCGCTCTGTAGATCAGAACTGCAGTTGTGACAATGATGTAGCGTCTACGAGATTTTGGTTTCGGACCTGTTTGCACCTAAAGATTCTGATTGGACCTGTCTGCACCTTGCAGATCCTGAGATTCAGATTCTGATTGTGGACCTGCCGGTACCGTAAAGATTTCTTCTGCCCTTGTGGCTTTATCCAGTGTGTGTCGGTGAGTATGTAATCATATGAAAAATAATGTCTATGGGCCGGTACATGTGCATTGTGTATAGTATATGTGTATTGTGTATTGCGTATGTGTATCTTGTATGTGTATTGTGTACATGTATTGTGTACATGTATTGTGTGTGTGTGCGCGGTTGTTATTCCGTGTGTCTATATATATAATTATACTGTGTATATATTATGTATATTTAGAGAGAGAGAGAGAAAGGGAGAGAGATCGGCGTGTAAAGAGAGATCGGTGTGTATTGTATGCTCTGTTGTGTGGTTGTTATGTTGTGTGCAGTTTTTGTGGTAAACCATCACATACTGCAGTGCCCAAATCAGCCCGAATCGGAACCTACAGCTATGACCTATGCCATATGTGTTCAAAGATATGCATGTACAGCTGTATGCATGTATGTATGCATGTTTGTATGCATCTGTATGCAGTTGTGTGCAGTTGTATGTGCATCTGTGTGCACATCTGTAAAATCATCATAAACACACACATGTATATATACATACACGTGTGTGTGTTAAACATGTAATGATTATATGCTATTCTACTATTGTGTGCACGAACATATAACTTGTATATGTCTGAGTGAGGGAAGGGCAAGCGTTCACGATGATTGCTTATTATTTGGGAAAGTTCTTGCTCAATATTTTGACCCTTCCTTTGCAGCCCCTGCATGTCAAGGCACTTGGGGATCTGAGGACATGTCCTCAAGGTTGAACTCCGGGCACAAGTCGGCAAATCCTTCAACATCCTCCCCGGTCAAAGCACGCCTAAGGTGCAAAGACGGTCAGAAACTTCACTCACTTCAGCTGCTTAGCGGGATAGCCTTCGGCCAGGCATTGACTGTGTATTATGTATTCTATAACTCAACCGTTTATCGTTTTAATGGCTGCGCTGCCTCTTGCAATTGTGACGCAAGATGACTGTGACACATGCTTTCAGAGCGGTTCCCTCCTTCCACTGCTGCGCCAGAAACTAACTTCAGTCCAGTTGCGGGTGGTGTCTCGCCTGTTTCACCGTCAGATCTATCAGTGAGTGAGGCATGGCAGGGCATCGAATTCGGTTTCAGCATACTTTGGTTTGGTCACACTGCCTAATATCATCAAATATGCCTCTCGCTTCTGTTCTGTACGGCAATCCTGAAAATGAATGAAAATCCAGTTCAGACTATAGGTTCTGCTCCTACTTATATAATGGCTAGGGCTTCAAGTAGGATGCCCGCATCTTGATATTGTGTTACCATGTGTTGCTAGTTCCAGGTGCCTTCGGAATGGATGGGACGCTTTCCAGGATCTGCGCTCGTCTAAGGTCGTAAGTGCTGCTTCGCCAGCTGTAGGACCAACTCAATCGATTTGAGCGCCATTGCTGACACACCTCGCTTTGCTCTCTCTGCCCAGGCTGCTTACTTTTGAAACACGCTTCTGGTTACAAATGTACACAAATGTTACAGCCATGTCGAGCAATGTCTAGCTGGAATATTTGCACTGAAGCTTCAGTTAATGCGCGCTGTCTCTTAATGAAGTGCCACAAGGTTTATCTGCCCATCTCAATCATTCATGAGCCGCCTCTTCCTGTGCCTCTTGGACTTCTTTGGTCAAATCATCCGGTGTTTGGTGCTGTCCCCGGGCAAGCGTGAAGAAGAGCCTCACCAGCACCAGCCACCGCCACAACCACGAAACGACAACAGCGACTCAATATGTTCGCAAAGCCACCGTTTTCAATCATTTCTTATGTTTTGATTGAACTCCATGATTCACAGTAAAGTCACAGCAGCTGCAAGAAGTCGTGGTCTTGTGTGCTTCCAAGTGGCAGCAAGCACTGCAGCATGAAAACTCACATGGCTCGGCTAGGCTCGCAAAGGAGCCATGGCAACCATGTTCGTCAGCTATTTCCCAACATGTGGAGACATATGGAGCGTGGGCAAAAAGAAACCACTCGGGCTCTTCTGGCTGGTTGTCTCTCAGGCATGGGATTCGGGACTGGTTCCGACATGTGCAAACCCTAAGCATCAAATGATGTAAATGTTGTCTTCCTGCGAAAATAAATGGGGCGGTTTGGTAAAGGTTGGTGGCATGTTAAAAACGTGGTGCCAACTTTTTTCATCACCCAACCACTGGGAGAGAGCGTGTGTGGCACCACTTGCGAAGTAAGGTCATTATGTAGTCTTGCTAAAGCCAGAACAAAAGGGGTGGTAATCAGGTGTAGTCAAATCCCTCGCTCTCAAGGAAATGCAAGAGCAAAGGGAAAAGAACGCCATCTGTTTGACTCTTGTCCTCTACTACCCCTGGTAGCAGGCAGTTTGGGCAGAGACAATCCACCCACAGATCTTCCACGAGCGCCTTCGCCTCATCTGGCGCCCAATCCACGTCACAGCCTGTCTCCTGCGATGGAATCCAGAGACAAACACTTCGCAAGACTCAGACTGCGGTGGGGTACTGCCTCGTTGTCTCAAAGCTCTTTAACATCTCTTCATGTATCACGGCAAGTTTTGTTCTTCCCTGTCCTCTGGAGAAGCATGTTTGCATGAAGCAAAGGTATGTGCATATATATATAGAGAGAGATATATATATATATATAGATATAGATATCTATATCTCTATCTCTATCTATCGATCTATCGATCGAACTATCGATCAATCGATCTATTGATCTATCTATCGATCTATCTATCGATCTATCTAATCTAATCTAGTCCAATCTAGCCTAATCTAATCTAATCTGATCTAATCCGATCTAATCAACCTGTCAACCTATCAATCTATCAATCTATCAATCTATCTAATCTATCTAATCTACCTATCTATCTATCTATCCATCCATCCATCCATCCATCCATCATCTATCTGCCTATCATCTCTCTATATTTCTATCTATCTATCTATCTATCTGTCTGTCTATCTATCTATCTATCTGTCTGTCTGTCTGTCTGCCTGTCTATCTATCTATCTATCTATATTATCTATCTATCTATCTATCTATCTATCTATCCTATCTATCCTATCTATCCTATCTATCCTATCTATCCTATCTATCCTATCTATCCTATCTATCCGTCCTATCTATCCTATCTATCCGATCTATCCTATCTATCCTATCTATCCTATCTATCCTATCCTATCTATCCTATCTATCCTATCTATCCTATCTATCCTATCTATCCTATCTATCCTATCTATCCTATCTATCCTATCTATCCTATCTCTCCTATCTATCCTATCTATCTATCTATCTATCCTATCTATCTATCTATCTATCCTATCTATCCTATCTACCCTATCTATCCTATCTATCCTATCTATCCTATCTATCCTATCTATCCTATCTATCCTATCTATCCTATCTATCCTATCTATCCTATCTATCCTATCTATCCTATCTATCCTATCTATCCTATCTATCCTATCTATCCTATCTATCCTATCTAATCTATCTAATCTATCTAATCTATCTAATCTATCTAATCTATCTAATCTATCTAATCTATCTAATCTATCTAATCAATCTAATCTATCTAATCTATCTAATCTATCTAATCTATCTAATCTATCTAATCTATCTAATCTATCTATCTATCTAATCTAATCTAATCTAATCTAATCTAATCTGTCTATCTATCTATCTATCTATCTATCTAATCTTTCTAATCTATCTAATCTATCTAATCTATCTATCTATCTATCTATCTATCTATCTATCTAATCTATCTAATCTATCTAATCTATCTATCTATCTATCTATCTATCTATCTATCACCTATCTATCTGCCTATTTATTCATCTATCCATCTACCTATCTATCTGTCTATCTGTTCCTCTGTCTTTTTCATCTATCTGTCTATCTGTCAATTTGTCAACCTGTCCATCTGTCTATCTGCCTACCTGTCCATCTGTCTTTTTATCTATCTGTCTATCTATCTGTCTGTCTATCTATCTGTCTATGTCTCTGTCTTTCTATCTATCATTCTGTCCATCTATCTATCTATCTATCTATCTATCTATCTATCTATCTATCTATATATCTATTTATCTATCTAATCTATGTGCATGTGTATGTATGTATGTAATGTAATGTGATGTAATGTAATGTAATGTAATGTAATTAATGTAATGTAATGTAATGTAATGTAATTAATGTAATGTAATGTAATGTAATGTAATGTATGTATCCGTGCGTGTGTGTGTGTGTGGGTGTGGGTGTGGAAAGAGGCATGCTTCCTCCAAGAATCTGTCTGTGCTCCGGGGTCATGAGGTATTCCTGAGAAGCGAAAACCACAAAGATCCAGGCATGAAACCATGACCTCTCTCTGCCATGACTGCCATGACTCAGCACGTTCTAACTTCAAGCGAAGGTCCACCATATCCCTTGGCACTGGGAAATCCTGACCTGTCATTGCCAATGCAATGAAAGCTCATGGCACGACAGGGTAGACTGAATTGTTACAAGGGATCAGCTCTGCTTCGAAACCCAAGTGAATACAGTGACACATGCGTAGATGACAAACTCGCGGAATTCAGCATATTACAACAATAGTCGGGAAACAGAAACAACCCCTTGACTATGATTTCCTTATACACCGGATCTTAGAGTATGCTTCCATTTGTTTCCTTATGTTTCCGTTCCTTTCTTTCAAGATTTTCAAGTTAGTGCAACCACTTCAATGTTCAATAATGCTACTAATGATGTTACTAATGATGATCAAGGATGTTCAATGCATTTCAATGTCAATGAACTCACCAAACTCACCAGGATGTGCCGGGAGCTGCGCTGGGCAGTGAGGTCCCAAGGCGTGAGAAATCCATGGGTGTCGTGGCTGGCTTCAGCGGATCGATGTCTGGGATGGGGCCGAGGTTGCCTGCAACGATGGCAACGATGGCAACGATTGCTTGGGAAGGCCATGAGATGCCATGACGCCATGCCTGAAAGACATTGAAAGACATATAAAGACCGCAGCAGTGTTGTCCATCAATTCTATCGCATAATCGATAGCTTAAAGTTTCACAGCGTTTGCGCGGTTTGTTTATGTCGTTGAATCTGTTTCTGCGCATGGCGTGTGTTTTTCTATCTTTTCTGCAGTTTTTTCATCATGGTTCAGATCGCAGTGAAAGAGAGCCTCCAGGCACTGCTGGCAGAAACCTAGGCACACTGATTTGCCTGACTCAGCTGGCAATTGCAAAGCGTCCCTTTTCTTGTTTAATGTTTATTTAATTTTATTTATATATATATGTGTGTGTGTGTGAATATAAACATACAAAGGATCATGAAGGATTATGAAGGCATCATCTCGAAGCCGCAGGACAGAGAAATCTCAGACTTGGACGAAGCCCCTAGCAGTTGATCAAACCTCGAGGGAGCTGTGAGAATGTTCGCATCGCATCTCAAATTTGATGAATCAAATCCCGGTGATATCCCCTGCAAAAAGGTTTTGCACGAGCAAATCCAACAACTTGAGCTGCACACTGGATTTCAGGGGAGCCATGGTCAGGAGGAGGGGCACCTGAATCAGATTGAATGAGCAGAATTTCATCTATCTTGCAATGTTTAGTGGGATGCTTTAAAATGTTTTAAATATGTTGAAATCTAAAACATTGCAGCCTCGCCGTTCCAGGCGCACTCCTTTCCAAGCCCAGCCAAGCTCAGCACTGTTGGAGAAGCCAAGTCCACCGAAGGCACCCAGGCCAGACAATCTAGGCTTCTTGCCTCCGACTCAAGCGGATCTCTCCCCGGTCTCTCCCCGACGTTCTGACGTTCAAACGCATCCACGACATTCACAAACAGAGAGCGAGAGAGAGAGAGAGAGGGAGAGAGTCATATTGATCACAGACATATTCATGCACAGGTATATGCACAGATATGCAGAGTGTAATATGTATATATATATACAAATATAGAGTAGCGGACTGAAAGTTAGAATGCAGCCCACGTTTCCAAAATGTTAGGCGAGAAAGATAGAATGCAGCCCACTTCGAATGCGGCCGAAATCAAAAAACACAAAATAACAGGGAAATAAAAAAACAAAGACAGTCAAATTTAATCACATTCTATCACAGTCCCACCACGCGTATACCACACAAAATGACTATATTAACATTGAGAATGCCGATTTCAGCATTCTATCTCCAGGGTTTGTGTGTCGAAATGCTGCAAAAATACAAACATGTGCCATCCATGATTTCCAAAACCGCGTTCTATCTTCCAGTCGGCAACTATAGTGATACAATGTGATACATACGTGCATATGCATATATATATATATATTACATTATATACATTATTTCATACTATATATATATGAGCACACAGGAACGTACACTTACAGTAATACATGGGAACACTTGCGCCGAGTTCTTAGGAAATTTCTCATATCCAGTGTCCTCCCAGCAGCGCCCAAGGATAGAGACAGCTTGACCTCCGTCATCCTCATCACTATCAGCATCTGGCAATGAGCAATGGAGGTTTAGTTTCAAAATGTTCAAAGAAAACGTCAGACGGGTTGGTGGCAAGAAGAAGCAAGAAGATAACACCACAAAATACGTTCTAATGGTGCAGTCAACGCAGATTAGGCCTGCACGTCTTTGGGATAGGGAACAGCTTTAACAGATGGAAGCCGTGACCTTCAACTGTTTCACCAAACATACTATATGATATTATATTATATTTCTTCCATGGCTGGC